CCACGTGTTGTGCTTGACACTGGACACTTACCATTCGCTGAGAAGAAACTTGCTTGTTCGTCTGCCATGAGTCGTCCGATATCAGGTCATCACCGCAACACCATCTCCCGACAAAACTGGTCTTCATTGTTCGCATGTTCATAGTTAGCAATCACGTCAAGTTATAAATTCCCGAACGCTCATAACTTGCCGTCGCTAAACGTCGTTCATTCATAGTGTCTTCATTGCAAATAAACGTCTTCCTATTTCTTCTGATGGTTTTCATAAGCTGTACAGTTACAACATTATGTGTGTCGGTACTTCCGAAAATATTGCAACGGCGTTTGTTTTCCGGGAACTATAATGTAACAACCTTTACAGCATCTTCCGGACCCCGTGAAACACAATATTTCGTGACGTTATTTTAGTCGTCGTTAAAATGGTGAGGTAAGTACCGTAAATCGCGAAGCAGTTTACTTGACGTCCGCTTCCACTGGTTGAGTCTACTGAGCATGCATTCCTGCAGAGGAAATTTTCATTGATAGAATATTGACACATCAATCAACATTTGATTCTTTCTTGGTAAGATTTATTTCGAAAGCCCGTTACAACCGCCGAACCGTATGTCCCTATATCAGAGAACAATTTATACCCAGCCAGCCAGCATACATCCGTTTGATGGGCCACGCTACTTGAGCTAGCTGAGCACAGCTGGCAGCGGCGCGAGCGAGGCCACGAGGGGAACGTGATGGTGCTCGAGCCATCCCACTGTGAACCAATGTTTCGGCCACCCCACGGGTGCGTGTCGCCATCTATTGGTTGAACTAACGCCTTGTTCAAGATGGCTGCCGTGGGACCGCAGCCTTAATTGGACACTTTCTGACGGTTGGCGTGCGTAATCGTCATAGTTCCGCCGTGCGCCCTTGTTTACTTTGTTTTTGTCCAGCCCACAGACACCCATAAAAGTAATGTTCCCCACATAAAAGAGCAATAACAGACTTCTATATGCTTGAGAAGTTATATGTGTGAGGAACACATAGTTATTTAAATTAGCTTCAAAATCAGGAATGTGTGTAAGGCTGTCCCATATCACTTACAACGTGGCTGTCGAGGATAGAAACGACGGAAAAGATTGGCAGAACAATTTTCAGATAATTTGAGGGGCATTGCTTTAGGGTGGTCGGCCACTTATTTATGTTGTCAAATATTCAATTAGTAATTAAATATATTATTATAACGATCAATAAATTTTCCTTTATAAAGTTCCCATAACCACTTGAGACCGACGCGGAAGGACGATACTCGAAACTACGCGAGCTGTGGAGTCTGCATAAAAGTGTTTTTCTTTTTTCTGATTGGCAGTGTGAAAAATCGGGTTGCAGGGTACGCCGAAAAGGGCTGTGCTCACATAATAGATTGGAAGTCAAATACATGAAATGTTCAAAAATAGAGAGATAATTAATGTAATTTTTCTAAACAATCCCTTACTTGACGCCCTACTGCGAAAAGATAGCGTAAAAATGCACGCAATGAAATTTATAATTTTACATAAATAGGGCGAACGACAGACAAAGATTCTTAAAATATAATTATAAATCACATTTTATCAGCTTCCATGAGCTCTCGAAACTTCGCCAAATACTGCCTCGGGAGGCTAATGTTACATTCGGTTTTACCTGCACTTGTTTTGGCCCTCACTTTAGAACCCTATGCTTGAACAGCCATGCGCGCTAACATTTCTCTAGGCTGCCATATATCATCGCGAGACTGCTATAAAAATTGCACAAATTTACAATTGGGACATGTATTGCTAGTTTTGCAAACATCACATTTCACCAGAAAGCTTAACTGCTTAACATGGTATGCAAGTGACGTCATCACACTATAGGCTGGTAGTCATTGTGATTTCTTCCTGCTCAGAAAATCGAATTCGATAACGCAAAATGCATGCTGCACAACGTTCAAGCTCAGTGAAAGCCAAGTATTTTAAAATAACGTATTACTATTCTTAGCGGATCGTCGTGAGGAACGGCTTGAGCGTCTGCAAAGACAAAAACCTGCTATTTGGCAAGAGCCTTTTGCACACAAAGTAGTTTCCGGGCTAGCGCTTTTTGGTCTGCGCCAAAGATGCGGGGAAGAGGAACCTTTACCACACAGTAGGATTTTAAAATCAACCCCCCTCTCCCCCACACACACGCACGCGCGCACACACACACACACACACTTCTTTTTACAGCGGAGCTATTAAGGGCTAGTTGCCCCAGTATTGTGTCCGTCAGCAAACAAATGACGACAGTAAATTCTGGACAGCTACCGACATCTATAAGTGACGACAGCAACCAGACAACCGGCTTGCCGGTTATCTGGTTGCCGCCGTCGCGCATAGATGGCGGCAACCTCTCCAGCCTTTGCACTCTGGCTTGCCGACTTGCGGCCGGCAGTTACTTCATTTCCACCATAGTACAGCTTCGCTGGTCTTCCTTCTTCACCGGAGTGGAAAGGCTGATGGTATTCCCAGAAATTGTCTCCTCCGTTCGCGTGTGCTAATTCGACAATTTTAGTTTTCACTTGTTAACAGCAACCCTTCACTGCTCTTATTTTGCACCCCGTGAAGTTTAAAGGGGTCATAAAACGATATCGGGTTGGATTGTTCATGACTTTGCAGAGGCGTACTGGTCCTACTCTGACCCAAGTATACTCACAAAGGCCGCCACTGATTCAGAAGCTTCTTTGTCGCGGTGAAATTGTGAGGCCAAAAATGAGACTATTTCTTTTAGTCTTGCCTTCGCAAAGATTGATGACGTAATTGTGGGATCAAACCCACCCGCCTCACGACAGTCGAGCGCGGCTCATGGATTGAACAGGAGAGCTGCGTGAGCACTGTACATACATCGGCTCGTAACAAGCAATGCCTCGGTGGACACTTGGGGTAGTGGCTCGTGTCCAACCACTGCGGTAATGAGAACTCTAACAATGCCTGGAGCTCAGCACGCGTTTTCTTCCTTTCCAACCCCAGCGCGGGGGTATGATTAACGTTGGCGGAATAAGACAGGCACCAGGCCACGTGGCCGCTTCTGGCTCCGAGTTGAGGGGATGAACGATGCTCATATTTCTCTCACTTTTTGGCAACTGCCATTGCCTAGCTAAAAAAAAAAAAAAAGCAAAGCCAAGTTTATCCAGTTATTAACGTTAGGGAGTGATCCTGAGTAGAGTTTAGTGATGTATAGGAATCTTTTTATAGCTTTTTTAAGAGAAATACAGAGGGGGTCGAAACTTGAGCAATAACTTGAGAAAGATCGCTCGTGTGAGACTTACAGCGACTGCCATGGTTCGGCTGTCCCTCTGAGGTCACTAAAATATTTTTTTAAAGTATTTCTTTCGTATAAACATGTAGTTCTATCGAACGTCATATTAATAAGTCGCATTTAGTCATTTCAATACTTCTATTCTCGGCGACATCTTTCGGATGCAGTTCAGCAGCAACGAAAAAATGTTTGGGTGCCTCAATGATGTAAAATTGGTCTTGCAACATTTTTTTGTACTTTCAATAAATACTGCTAACAAGTAACCCCTGACGTTTATAGCTTGCAAAAATATGCATTAGTTTTACTCTTCGCGCAATAGCAGATGCAGAAAAAATAAAGGAAAAAGACAGCTGTCCCCTCCTCAACTCGCAATTTGAACAAGCGGCCGCGTGACCTGACGCTAATTATATACCGTCAGTGTTCATCATAGTCATGCCCTAGGTGGCTAGGATTTGGAACGAAAAAGCTTGGGCTGAGCTTCAGATATTTTTAGAGATGGGCTATTATCATATTTAATGGACATGAGCCGTTACCCGAATGTTTGACGATGCTGACTGTCAAGAACCCGTGCACTCGACTAGGTGTTATGAAAACCGCTTACGTCATGGTGTCACGTGACTCGGTGCAAAATCGTGATGTCATGTTACGTCACGCTGTCAACAAGGCTAATGCATGTAGTGACTTCCTCAAATTAAATCGAGTTGACGCAGTGAGTCACGTGACGCCACGAGGTCACGGGACATTACTTGACAGCATGTATTCACGCCATGACGTCACGTGACAACGTGACAGATGCTTAATCATAGTGCCAATACAAAAGAGCCACGAAAACCCACAATTTACCATACGTTGCAATTCTGTATAGGACAATTCGATCAATAGAAATACAGCCGCCAATTTTTTATTCCCATATGTTCTATTTGTGATACTAGCAAAAAAATAAAATATTAAATTACCTTGAACCGTTTTGAACCGGTTACCATTATATTTTTTTTTAGGGTTCAGTTCTGGTTCAGTTCCAAGATGGCGGCGACGATTTCGGTCCGGTTCAGTTCCGGTTCGGCTAAAAATAACGGTTCTGTTCTGGTTTTCGGTTCGGTTCGGTTCCGGTTCGACACCCTGCCCAACACTGATTAGGCTACATCAAAACCCAGTACATATTTGTAGTCGGAAAGTGACGTCAGATAACCTATGTAAATTTCATTTGAATTGGATCACAAGTTACACGAAAAAGGTCTAAAAGCAGTGTTGCCCCTCTTGACATGTAAAACAAATGGACGGATGATGTTCAGTTTAACTTCGTTACTACAGATCTGGTCACAGCAGACATTAGGTTATAGTATACTAATTTGTTGCTTGTTACAGATTCCGTTATAACATACATTCAGATATAATGGACCATATTAGGGAGTTTGTAAGCAGTTCACCATTCCATTATAGCAGCAGACTCTTCGACAGCAGTCATTATTTCAGACATTACGGGGCTTTGGTAGGTTAGCGGTGGCATCTATATATTGCTAATTGCTGTCATCACCCTCGGTGCCTAGCAGGCCTCGTACGACCCGAAGTACACAGTGCTGTAATAATGAATATCTGCGTTCTACATACTCCTTTTACAACGGACCAAAATATTAATCACTATCAAGGTCTGTTATAGTGAGGTTCATACTGTTGTTTCTTGCATTTGTTGGCCTCCCCCCCCCCCCCCCCCTCCAGTTACCAGGCAGTGGAGAGCATGAGGCACGGCACGGATCCCACGTCCGCCTGCAGGGACGCCCTGCACAGGATTGTGCGGCATCACCCGCAGTTTGTGGGGGCCCTCGTCGCTGTTGCCATCGACGGCACCTACGGTGGGTGCCTTCGTGTCTGTCGTCGCTCTGTGTAGGTTGCGCTCGCCTTTCCTGAAAACTTTTAGGATGTAGAAATGCAGGCTTGAAATGGATGCATGGCTAATATTTGGAAGCGTTTTGTTTGTGGTGAAGACACATTGCCTGCTTTGCCGTCATCGCTAAGCTTCCGTTTCTGAGCGCGGTAGATCGTGTGTCAATGCAGAAAATGGAAGGGCAAAACTGTCGCAATATTTTCCAGTCTGCATGTGAGGACGCTACTCATATGCATTTTTTTTTTTAAACTATGAACCTGAACTGTGGAAATTTGCCACAGGCGTTATATTTCTCGTTTGCAGTGATGCGATTGGTCCGAGTCGTTTTGGAGCAGATGACACTTCATTTTGGAGCAATAGAAATAACTTTCTCGGGGCATAAGCTAACACTTCAATTTCATTCATATTGCAGCGAATATTATGTTCATATTCATGTGTTGGCTTTGTGGTATTGGGGATTTTAGGGATTACTTGGTTAAGGATTGCAGCGTGGTTATTATTAACGAAACTAAATTGATTATATGAAGTGATGTAGATGTTCAGCTGAATGCTTGCCAAGATGAGTTCTTTCATTTTGCACTCTGAGTTCACTCTTCTTCACAAAGAATTAAAAGGGATTACATTGCAAAGTCAGCAAGATGCCGGAGTGGCTTGCAGTTCCTGACGAAATAGCGTCGACGAAGGGGGCTTCCTTGCGTCGCAGGCACTGAGGGCCCTGCCACTGAGGTGCGACTGTTCAATACCCACGCTGCAATCCTCAAGCCAAGTATAATCCCTAAAAACCCCAACACCACAATGATGCCACCCGTGTATAGTGGATTTCTTTAAATCAAGAACACTACAGGCCTGTTCAACTGTTAAGCTAAAAGACAATGTCTAATTTACTTTCCCCTTCTGTGCAACGTTTTGTTAGTGTCAGTTGCGTGGCAGGTTTGATTCCCTCGAACTCTGAACTAGCTACATCTTCCGGTCTATACACAAGGATGTGACTTATATGCGTCTTTGTTTTTATAAGTATGGACTTTAACTGTGGAAATTTGCCAGAGGGGTCATATTTCTCGTCTGCAGTGATGCGATTTGTCCGAGTCATCTTGAACCAGCCGAGCATTCATTTTGGAGCAGCAAAAATAACTTTTCATACATAAGTGCACACTTTAATCTCATTAATATTGCAACGAATATTATGTTCATATTCATGTGTGGTTAAAACCTGTTCAACTAAAAGAAAATGTTTACTTTGCTTTCCCACTTCTGTGCAGAATTTTGTTAGTGTTTGGTGCGCAGCAGTTTTGCTTCCCTCAAACTCGGAACTGGCTGTCTAGTTATGTGTGGAAGCACCAAGGATGGTAACAAGATGCTGAGTGATGAAGGACATAGCATGAACTGCTGTGTGTGGCTATTTTAGCTATGAAATCCAAGGTAAATCAAATATATAGTCCCTAACAAAGTGAGACCAGCTGGACACGTCCTTAGAATGCCCGTCCTCCTGCGCACACTCTGTGCCTCCTGCCGTGCTTTGCTGGAGGCGGGACACTTGAAGCTCATAAAACTACAGTTCTGAAGTCATATAAAAGAAAAAATAAAGGTTTTTTCTATTGATTATGAACATAAATGACGTTTTATAAGTAGAGCTTCACGATAATAAAAACCGGCGTGCGAACAAAAAATATATGCCTTCTGAAAAACGATCCACTTCTTGAGCTAATTTGCGTTTAATTGGCTGCATTGACCATGCCATCAAACGGATGGAACCAATATAAGGGTGGTAACTAAATGACAGAGCTGACATAAAAACTTTCAGCCTTTCCACTCTGGTGAAGAAGGAAGACCAGCGGAGCTGTACAACGGAAAGTAATGGCCGGCCGCAAGTCGGGAAGCCAGAATGGAAAGGCTGCTGCCATCTATGAGCGACGACGGCAACCAGATACGTGGCTTGTCGCCGTCGCCCATAGATGGCGGTAGGCAGGGCCGTACCCAGAAAAATATTTCGGGGGGGGTTTTCGGGGACAACGGCGGCCATTTTGAAAGTGTATATTGTCTTATTTTCGCCTATGAATCATGTGCATCAGTGGCATATAATGGAGAGTTGCAGCAAACCGGAGAACCGGTCCCGGTTTGGTACCCGGTAGCCGACCGGCGCCACTGCGCGTGCGCAGAGGTGGAGATTTAAATCGGCTGGCTGCAAGTGCACCGACCAGGGCCGTACACAGAAAAAGATTTCGGGGGGGTTCAGAACCCCCTAACCCCCCCCCTGGTTATGGCCCTGGCGGTAGGTTTCCAGAGCTCGGTATCTTCATTACTAGCCCTTAACAGCTCCGCTGTAAAAATGTAAACCTATTCACCCCTTTTTGTTTGGCCACAAGCTTGGTGGCGCCATCTATTGGGTAGTCTCGGCACACTTCCACACTTCCAGTTCGCATATATTTTCTAATCTTTTTACTCGTCATTCTTTTACGGTGGGATTGAATTACGTCTGTCGGCGCTATAAGTGGCCATTTCCCGAAGAAGGTGTGTAGATTCAATCTCGCAAATACTGCAGAGCCCGCCGTCTAGTTTAGAACCAGAGGTGCTTGAGGGGTTATTTGCATGCCGGGACCACCACGTTTTAACCCATGCGAGGAAGAGCGAATAGATTAGTTCGCATAAATCTGGCAATGCCGAGTTACCTTTGCTCTTACAAAAAAAATATTGTGAGATTATTGCAGTTTATCTTACATACCGGTCCGTCTTATTTAGGAATATTACTGCAAAGTAAAATTGTTACATCTATGCTCACCAATTTGTTCTTTTTTATGTATTTAGTGGTTGCATTTGTGATTTCCAGCTCTGTAGGAGCGGTTCCGCCTTAGTATGCAGGTGCACTGCGGCGAAGCAAGGCATGCAAACTTGTGGTGCCTATTTTGCGGTCGTCTCTTCGCTGCAGTACGCCGGTGCGCTGCAAGAAGCGCTCTCAACAAAGCTTACTAGCTCGCCAAACAGACTGCGAACGCGAGAAATATTGCAACACTTCCGAGTACTGTTGGTGTTCGACAGAGAGATAAAATTGAGCAATACATTACTTGAGGCGATCGTTGGAAAGCTCCGAACATTCGGAGAAGCTTACCTCATTGATCCCACAATGCAACGGGATCTGCGCTATTATATTCTGAGTAACAATAAAGCTAAATAAAGTTTAGAGCAATGTTGGCACATTTTCCTCACATTGCCGAAAAATGTAGCAGAACATAGCAGGGTAGCGCCAGTCCATGTTGTATGTGTCTCTTCCTTGTCCGTGTTTTTTTTTTACTTTTAAGTCCTCCAGATCATGGTGAACCAACTGCTTTTGATTTGTTGGCGAGAATATTATAAGTGGCTTCCGCTTGCGCATATATCGTGATCAGAATACACATGCTATGCTGACTCATCAAGGATGGGCGACTTATACGTAGGTGAAACTCGTATACTAGCTTTCTTGTGAAAACTGCGACTTCTAGACCGTAAAATAGGGTAATCAAGTACTACATAGCATTGCCAAGGAACTTTACCAGATCCATAACAGCCCCGATTGGAATGTTTCAGGCGCTGCGTGCCACGGCATCGAAAGTTTTCCCTTCTCCGTGGCCAGTCCATCTCATGGGACGGCTGTGGTGGAACGTATCAAGTGCACCAACTGAATGGCAGGCCAGCTGCGCTGACACAACTAACACGACAAGATGTGCTAGCCGGCGGTCTTTAGACCATGATAGACCATCCGAGCGTTTGAAAGCTCTTGAAGGACGCAACAATTGCAGTGTCATTTGTTACAGCTCAACAGTGAGAGGACAGTTTAGGAGAGGACACTATACTATAGCTTGTGTTATTTTTCTTGCTTGTGTGCTTGTACAATAAGGAGCATTGTGATTGCTTCTTTAAGAACATCTAAGAGTGTGGAAGAATATTGTTAGTCTCGAATAAATAATTATTACACAAATACACCAAAGACCAGACTTTATTTTGTTCGACAAGCACTGCAACTAGTACGTCTCATGTTGAACCCTTCAAGGCGGCCTGATTTCCGAAGTGCGACCTGATCAACTGAACACAATGAATGTGAATTTGACTAGCACATTTCAATTCATAAGTCTAAACACACCCACTTAAATGCTTTTTCCCTGCCATTTTTGACTTTACAACTGACACGAAACGTTGCCTCAACAGCAGCGACACCTTTTGACTCCACACCCTCCACTTATGAAGTGGCCACACCGAAAGAAGCAGCATGCATTCAAGACGGGCCTAAGAACGTTGACCCTCAATCTGTCTCTTCGAAACTACGGGTGGCCACCAGCCCGGCTTGACCGTACTCAAGCGCACCGAACCCACGGAAAGTTCTGCAGCACTCAGCGCTTCATCCACACGCAGCAACGCAAGGCCGACCTGCCCCCGATGAACCCTAAACTTGCCCACAGCCTTGTCGTTGCCATCCTTAACCACCGTGTCCGAGGCGACGCCTCCACCGTCGACGCGATCGAGCAGCACAACGGGCATGATCCGTTTCCGAATCACCCCAGTGTGATGCGTCCTAGCGGTCAGTTCCTGTCCGATGTAGCATCCCTTGTGGAAGCTGACGCCACTCATGTAGTCCGCGTTGTATTCCAATGGAAAGCAGTTTGCGCTAGGGAGATCGCCAAGACCCTCGCTGACTCCGAGCTGATACCTCAACTTCGTATAACTGCTTTCCGATGAGTCCTGGGGGGCGGCTTGGAAGGTCGGATTCGAGGCGACGAGATCTTGCGTGGAGTCGAGGAGCACGCGATGCCCTAAGAGATGCAGTCTTGGGTCGCGAACGTTGACGGTAGCGTCGCCGGCGACCGTAATGGGAATCTCGGCCGGTAGGGGTTCGTCGACGGTGCCACAGAACGGGTGGAACGCGGCCCAGACGCTCAGCTCGTCGCACGGTTCGAGTCTGACGTCCTTCCGGAGTTTGTACAAGTTGAAGAGCTTGAGGACGGTCGACCTTGCGTCGGCGTCGCATTCCAGCAGGACTTCGTCGTCGTGTCGCGGGTCCGGTTTGTAGAGTAGGAAGTCGTACAGGACGCGACCGGCGGCGTTGAGCATCATAGCGTACATGCAAGAGGTACTCACGCTCGGCTGGGGATCCACGCTCAGGTGTCGCGTATCGTTGGTGATCATTCCCTGAAGGAACGGTAGGCAGTCCTTGCCTCGGAGTCTGATCAGCTTGCGAGAGCGGAGCTGTTCGCAGACGACTCGCTTCTGGTGGTCGGCTTTGCTGCACAGGTGCCGGATCGATGGAGCGAAGAGGCTTCGCAGTTTGGTTGTCGTCGGATGCGCCAAGTTGAGCAGCATTTTGGTTGGAGTAAGAGGAGAATTCGGGTGAAGGCTACTGAGATCGGAGTAGAAGCATCGCGCAAACACCCGTAGCGCCCGTAGCAGACGTTCTTGACCCTCCGAGAGATTCAGGCCTAGCACAACATACATGTTTGCGCTTTTGGCGGGTAGGTGTCAGCGGTAACCGTTTTAATAATTACGTATTAACTACTGACAGTAGCACTTAAAAAAAAAAAAACTATGACGCTGAATTAAAATATATTTTATTTTAATTATACTTAATTTGTGTAAATATATCTAAAACTATAAACTAATAACAAGGATAGCAACAGGCCTGAGCTCGAAATTGTTTACATGGGCTCTGGTTGAAAACGTGCGTGCAAGCGATTACCTGAGATCTCTGATCACATAAGAAAAGGCCAGTCGTAGTGATCGTCCTGAAAAATGCCTGGCGGGAAAGGTGAGTGCACCTTAACTCTGTACAATCCACAACGCTAATGTATTTTACAGCACAACTAGGCCATACACCCTTCTCTCGTAAAACCAAGTTCGAACGGGCAGATCCAAACGACAGACGACTCAGTAAATCGGAACATTTGACGCCTGTGTTGACCGATAACGTCTCTTGACAGCAGTGACGGGATCGGATTACCAGAAAGCCAGACTATAAAAACTTGACGCGGCACTGCGGGCCTCCATGGTACGGTCTGTTGCCTTTCTGCGGTGCTGCGGCTCTCCCGAGCCAATAAAGATTATTATTCAGAGCTTTAAAGCCATTGACGACTCATTCAATCGGTGCCTTTGGCGTTTGTGCTGATCTATATGACATCTCTTCACGGCATGATTGCCACGCAGCCGATGATGACGAAGCTCAGGCCAGCGCGTCGTCTCAGGAGAGCGCGAGCGCGTGGTCAATGAAGCTCCCGGCGTTCACCAAAGACGACAACCCGCATGGCGTCCTCTGCGAGAGCGCCTTCGCAACACTCTTCCCCAAGTACCGCGAGAAGTACCTGAGGGAATGCTGGCCCCTGGTCAAGAAGACGCTGTCGGAACACGTGCGTACACGGGCTGTCTAAACGCGTTCGCTTGGCCAGACCTTTCCTTTCTCAAAACTTCCTTGACTTAGGGCGGCCATCACACATGTTGCGACTCGTTAGGACCGCGTGCCATAAAAGTCCTTAAAATCCCTTACGACGGAAGAACGTACCAGCACAAAAACATCCGGGACAGAAATCTGTCCATCTATGTGGAGCGCAAGTTCGTCTGCTTCTTCTGCAGGAGTTGCAGTGACGTCAGAACGACGCCGACCTCTGATTGGCTCTGATTGGAGAATAGTGAGTAGACCTCAAATAAAACTGCCTTGAGGTCTACCCACTATTTTTCAGTCAGGTATTCTGATTGAAAAATAGTTTGTCTGCTCCTACCAATCAGAATACCAATCAGGTATTCTGATTGGTAGGAGCAGACAAACTTGCGCTCCACATTGGATAGCCATGGAATACTTGGCACTTCTGCATAATTCCTTTTTTTTTTGGCTTGAAAAGCTTTTGACAATGTTATAAACAACCATTTCTTATGATGGTGCATGCAATGTTGATCGCGCGAGTACTGCAAAAGCCTTTGCTCTAGTGAAATGCAGTTCCGGGGTCACCTCATAGGTGGTGCCAGCGTCCTAGCGTGTTCTCTTGTCGTGAGAGATCACAGGAATTCGGTCGTAATGTGAAGTATGTGAACGGACGTTTACACGGCAATCAATTGCTTGTAAGCAGGTTCGTCCGCCTACTGCGGGAGTTGCAGGCTCTGCGCATGTGCGGGAACCCTGTTTCTGGGAAAAGCTTGTCTGTGCACACTTCGTTTCACGGCTGTCATCACCGTCTTGAATTGAAGTGGGGAAACGTGAATTGGTGTACTGACCGTACCAGGAAAGGACTTTTGTGTCCGGTGCCGTTTTCAGCATAGAGCATGTGATTTCGTTTCATTTCGTTTTTTTTCTTTCGGGGCCCGAAGCCATTGCAGAGAGCAGTGAGCACTGTAAGATAAACACAAAAATAAAAATAAAAAACAATAAAAAGGCAAAAATACAAATGTAGTACGTAACATAATTTAACAAATTAGTAATTGCAATTCTTCAATTGCAATTGCAATTAGTAACTCGAACTATGACTGCGGGAAGGCAATTCCAATCAATGGAGGTTTGGGTAAGAAGGAGACATTGAAAAGTAGATGCACTGCAATGTGGGACCCTAACTTGTAGTTTATTAATAGCATTCCAAAGTGGCAAACATAGTGCACGCTGGGTTGTGGTTTTGTAGATATAGGAACATTGCGTAGGGTGCAGTGTGGCGCAACTAATACTAAAGTGACTCACCTAGAGGGCACCACAGGACCGAAGTTTGTACATGAATACAGCCACAGAGCAGGAGTGTGGCAGTTGTTACTAGCTTTTGGTGTCCATACTTCTCAAATGGGACATACATACGCCACATTAGACATCACAGTCACTAACTTTGACCTGGATTCTCAGTTCAGTGTCCCTGTATGTGGCTTGCACAGACGGCAACTCTAAAGGACCTTGCTGCTGGGCGCGTGTGTACCTTCTGCAACAGATATTTCGCATTACTGCATTTATTATTTTTTGTTTCAGCAGATCAAGTAGTAATGATCATTGGTACAGTGCAGCGGCATCACATTCTAGCCATCTATAAACCCCACCCCCATCTATAGACCGACATGTGGTCTCGGAGCCTGCTGTAGCTCCGGAATCACTGTATTGAATTGGATAGAATTGGACCGTGGGGACAGAGCCCTTTGGATCAGGCGACCACAGTCTGAAAAACTAGCCTGACACACGACGACCGTCGTTATGCCAGGGAGTCAACGGGGAGCTGGACGTCATCGAGGGGAGCATGACAGTCTCGACCACCAAAAAGATGTGGGACCCTTACATCATCCTGAAGGCCCGCGACATGATCAAGCTGCTCTCCCGAAGTGTGCCCTATGAGCAGGTAGGCACCTACCTTCTGCATGGTCGTGGCTCCGCCACCTGGAACCGTAGTTCGGCTGCCAATTTTTTGTGCTTCCAGGCGATTAGGGTGCTGGAGGACGACGTCGGGTGTGACATCATCAAGATAGGCAGCATGGTGCGTAACAGGGAGCGCTTCGTCAAGCGCCGCCAGAGGCTCGTGGGTCCCAACGGGACCACACTCAAGGTAACACGTTTGTGCAGACCAGGAGTTTCAAATCTACAGTCCTGTGGGGTCGTCAAACTTTATGATCTCGGGGTACTACCGTCCTTTTCGACCTACAGCCGAGAAACCCCTCCTGATGTTGGCGTTGACGCAACAAAGAAGTGCAAAACCTACAGACCTTGTAATTGATAATGCACATAGTACTGTTGAGTGTCTGGAACACCGTTATGTATCACTAAACGGCTCGAATCTTCTAAACTATTGCTTAAAACTGCAACAGGTTCTAGGTCCCAAAGTGAGATATAGAGGAGACCACGTGTTGGGTGTTTGTGAGAACAGGTGACGGCATTTTTTGCTTCAGGTGGATAAGCTAAGCACTGTAGCGAGCTCGAACCACGGTGCGAGTTACTCAAGTGACGAAACTTTAACATGCTTAGTTCAAAAGCTGGACATGGTTTTTTTCAAAAGGTTGTGTAGAAAAACGGCTCCCAGTGCAGCTTGTGAATACCACAGGCAAACTAATTGCATCTCCTGGCAATGCAGAACATGAGTTCATCTGCTTCTTGTACAGGAGTTGCGATGACATCAGAATGCCGAGCTCTTATTGACTGATTGAAAAAAAATAGTGGGTAGACCTCAAGGCATCTAGCATTGAGGTCTACCCACTATCCTTCTAGTCAAAGCCAACCAGAACTCTGCGTCCTTCTGACGTCCCCGCAACCCCTGCGCAAGAAGCAGACTACTTGCTCTCCTCATAGATATTCTCTTCTCACACACTCTTCCTAGAGATTATCGCCAACTTCGGAAAGGGGTAGCTTTCATTTCTGGAACTTCGGCGTCCTACTCCAGCTGATTGCACATTGCACCGATTCTGAACAATTTAGGTGGTGGAAAAGGCATGATTCACTTTTGCCCGCAATCACTCGATGGACTGCTCTGTACAAGATTGATAGGGAAATAGGCACTTGCTATTCCATTGACAGTACCCCACCAAAAGATGGGGCCAGGCCAGACACAAATTTTTGCTCTGGAAAATTTGTTTGTTTGTTTTTGGGTTATGGCAAATAGCACAGTCTTTTTCTTTCTTTGTTTTCAGGCTATCGAGTTGCTCACCAACTGTTACGTGTTGGTGCAAGGAAACACGGTCGCTGCCCTGGGTCCTTATAAGGGATTGCAACATGTCAGTGACTTGTTTTTGTGACTTATAAATTTAACGCCCGCTACTCGTGCCAGTTGCATTGATTAAACATGTTTCCGCCGTCTTGCAGGTGCGTAAGATTGCAGAGGAGACCATGAAGAACATCCACCCGATTTACAACATCAAGGTGAGTGGCCAGCATCGTGCCAGTCTTCAGCGCTGTTGCTCTTTTTTTCTTTACTTTGGCTACGTGCCGAGCAACGAGATGTCCTCTCGCGGTTGAGCAATGAGATCTCGCTGCTTCTGTAAGTGATGAGCTTTGTTCGCTCTGTATGCAGACTTTGAAGTGACAATTTACAAAGGCAAGAATGCAAACTGGCTGGCGCATCAGGATGTAATTAGCTTTTTAAAAAAAGATAAGTGCCAAAACACCTGTGCTGAAGAAGGACCTGTGCTGAAGAAGGGACCCGATTATTGCCGTTCCAGTAGAAACTCCAATTTTCTCGATTCGGCACTTTGTTTGTTGTGCTCATTCTCGGTCTGTGTCGGTTTCCGAACTCCTCTGGAGCCGTCGACACACGCGGTATTCGGCGGACCGGAATCTGCATTTGCTAGTCTGGTGGGACATGTTCACGAGGACATCACCAGACAAGGTTTAGTTTCGAGGTCACTGCCGTTCTCGCCGGCTTGTTTGTCTCCCGTCGTCGTCTGTTACCGCCGTCGGTGTCTCGTCTTCAACATTGTGCCGGCCCCGTTGCTGTCCAGGCGCTGATGATCAAGCGGGAGCTGGCCAAGGACCCCAAGCTGAAGGACGAGAACTGGGAGCGTTTCTTGCCCAAGTTCAAGTCCAAGACGCTCTCCAAGCGCAAGAAGCCCAAGAAGCGCCGCACCAAGGGAGAGTACACTCCCTTCCCGCCCGAGCAGCCCGAGAGCAAGGTTTGTATCCGGCGCATTATCTGTGGGAACTTTTCATGGCCCATGGCAGCCATGTTCACGACAGAGCTTTTCGTGTGTCGACATCAAAGTCAAAAACTATAGCCTCGAGTTTTCCCGGGAAAAATGCATTGATACGATTCCCTCAAATAGACATTTTTGAGCAAATCTCAAGTAAGTGGCAAAAACCGAGGATCGAATCACTTGAAACTATACATTTAAGGAACGGCTTGTTCCATCTCTCTTTCACTCGAGCGAAACAAAATTAGAAATAATTTGCTCGTCCGTTCAAGCTGCGTCATAAAAATTTTTTACAAAAAAAGCAGTTTGTCCATTAGTTAGCCATAACGTGACAGAGTACTTGGAGTGTTCCGTATTAGATCAGTTTCAGTCAAGTCGGGACACTACTACAACGGGCTGGTTTGCAGACGAATCGAACCCATTTGCATCTTTGCCGTTTGAAAAGATCCCATCGTTTCGTTACTTGAGTTCACTCGTGAGAAATCGTTTTTTGCAGATGGACAAGGAACTGGCATCAGGAGAGTACTTCCTCAAGGAGAGGGAGAAGAAGGACAAGAAGATGCAGCAAAAGAATGTGAGTGTTTCGTGCAACTTCTTTTACGGCGACGGCCGTTACGGGCTTCCCCTCCCATTCGAAACAATGTCGACGTAGGGCATCGCAGGGCGTGAACATCGCAAAACGTTTGAAAAAGAGAATCCCGAGAAACCACCGGAGTTGTCTCGGGATTCGATCCCTCGTCCGCCGATTGCGAAGCAAGCGCACTGCGACGGAGCCGCGCCAGCTGCCCGGACCCGCCGCCTAATAAACCGCGCGTGTCAACGACGCGAGTCTTGCGCGGCGCTTGCCAGACGACCCCAGTTATGGCGGCGCCGCAACGTGTCGCGTCCATCCGAGGGCTTCCGCGCGCATTAACTAAATTAATGCGTCACTCTCTGAGCAGGCGTCGGCGGCGGTTCCTCCACACAAGGTGCCAGATACGCGAGGGCGCATTGTGGTGTCACAGTCGTCACTTCGACTATACTGGGGATTCGTGCGGGACCGCTAGTTTTCCCAACCTCTCCCACTATGCACTTTCTTCGTGAACGACACGAGTCGGTGTCCTTCTCCGTTCTCCCAGGAGAAAAAGGTGGAGGCCGAGGTGAGGCGACAAGAGCGGAGAAACAAGCCCTTTGAGCCGCCCGAAGAGCCCAAGTACGTCAGCAAAAAGCGTCCCGCAGAAGCAGGTAAGCGGAACTGTGGCGGCAACGGAGATGACTGCCACGGGTGGCTTTTTCCCGCCTCCTTTGTGTAGCGGCTTTTTTTTATTATTTATGTTGTTTTTAGTGGAGTAGTTTTTCTGTACTTTGTTTCACCCTATACTTTGTTCATCCACAAGCTGACAGTGCGATAGGTGCTACCAGCTTGTCGGTTCCACTGCACTGTCAGCCTAGGGGTGAACAAGCTATAGTCGCAGCACAGACAAGGCCAGCACGTACGCAGACTAAAGGCATACTTAACCCCACTTTCTGTACACGCTCGGACGGCTGCGATACGTGCGCAGAAAGATGACTGAAGTTCGGGCATTTTGCTTGCAGTGCTGGTCGACCGTTCCCGTTGGTTTTTAGTGTATGCTCATTTCCAAGTCGAAGCAAAGTGTAGGCGCTGAGCCAGTGCTCTTCCTGCATGCATCGCTGCACTGCAGAGAAGCAACAGCATTAGGTTGCGCATACAATGTGTGCAACTTTTAGATGCAGTGCTGGAAGCTACTCGTGACCATTTGTGGCAGGTTCTGTAGTGGGCAAAATACTGGTTTGGAGCAGCCACTGACGCTTTTGTAGAGGGTGCCAACATCTGTTACATCATCACTCGAAAATGGCAAAGTGTTTTGCATCGGTAAATATGTTCACGCTTGATCTTGGTTGAGGGGTCCTCTTTGATACTGGAATATATTACTTATTACCTTTTGTAATAAGAATAGATAGGGAAAGAAAGAAACACTGCACCTTCTTTTTAGAAATAAGGTTCTAGTCAAAGTAGGTTCCATTTACAATTGGGTACTTAAAAAAATGGTTGAAAAATTAATCGCAGTACAGCACTTCAGTTAGGATAAAGCCTCTCTCCCCTCCCACTTTTACACCCGGTAGTTTCTTTAGCATGTAAATATAATTTTTGTAAAATGACTGCTGACATCCACTAAAGTATGTCTAGCAATAAAAATGCCCCCCCCCCCCCCCCCCCCACACACACACACACACAGTTTTATGAACCTACCAAACTTCAGACTAATATTATAAACTGCAAAAACAACTACCCACAAATATTATAAATGTCTACACTCGTGCTTTAAACTTGACCATGCTCTTTCGCGGCATAGGAACCAGAGAAACGTCAAAGCTTGCTGCTCTTTTGATCAACAGCTGCATGAGAATTACCTTGACTACCATACTTACTCAAAAATAGACACTTTTTTTCTCTTCCTCGGCGCAGTTTCTTTTAAAGTCGGAGATCGACCTAGAATCAACCAAAGAAGGTATACGTAGTTCTGAGCATAATTTCCGAGCCTATTGCACTAACCCAGGCACTCACCCACGTCAGCCGCTGCTCCTTGCACTCCGGTGCAAAGCGGTGAAGCTTGACGCCTGCGCTGGTGAAAGGCGGCATGCAGCAGACACGATGATCAAATGATCTTCTCTCGTTCTATCTCATCAGCCGCTGTCCTACTATTTTGCAGTGTTTTCTCGCAACTTTTAGCTCCCGACATCGCTGACGTCATCTGGAAATGCAGATGATGTCGGCGGTCAACTTGCCAGTGCAACAACCAGCAGTGCGGTTGACGAGCAATTTCTACACATCGTTTCACTTCAATTTCAAAGTGCAGCCAACGCTACGAGCAAATGGGACCAACCAAACATTGTCTAAGCGGGACATCAGGACATTTGTCCATCTTCCTGTACGTGTTCTTTTATCGACTAAACCAATCAAGTACAGCGAATACCCCATTAGTTGCACTTTTAGTGTGTGTTTGTGGTTGTATGTGTTAAAGCCTTCGGCCGTGCTGTGACCTAAGATAAAACAAACTATACGGTTACTAGAGGCACTGAGAAATACATATTTGTACCGTTTTCCTTTTCTCCTACTTTTCTGAATATTAATATCAACTAATAATAAGCTTTATTTTTTTGCTTAAATAGATATTGACGAAATTTTTATGCTTGCCGAGGTTTTTATTTGAACTTGACCTTTAAGAGCCCACCTACCCAGAACACAGTTTGCGGCTCAAAATTCGTTTTCTTTCCACTTGAAAACAGCAGGTAGAGAATCGGCCGGTTTTTCCATGATCACGGGGTGCTCAAACTATGTGTACCAAATATATTCGAAGTCATGGGTCATCTAAGGCACACCTTCAATATTACAAATAGAAAATAATATGAACCGCATTTTTGTGGCCTCCAAAAAACTGCAAGTTGATCGAAAGGAAAAAAAAAAAAAATGGTGCACAGATCACAGAAAGTAAAGATACACGCCATACGCAATATGGCAATGTACTGCGCGCTGGACGCCGCGATGGCACCGCAAGACGGACCAACGTTGCGACGGACGTGGGGCCACTACTTCGGAGCTGTCGTTTGTGACACCGGCCAATCAATCATTGAGCGGAAGGGATATTAAGTGCAAAACAATCGCATGACAAAACGTGAATGCAAGTTTGTCATTGTCGTCATTTGCCTCACACGCCGAAGAAGGAGAGAAGAAAAAGAAACGTGTTCGGGTGTAGTTACGCAATATCAAGCCGCGAGTGTTTCGGCTTTGGTTTCGAGCAGTTGAGTTTCGTTGTCCTTATTAAAAATATATGTGACTCGGCAGCAAAAAAATTGATTGAGTAGTCTCCCAACACCACATATGCACCCCAAAAAATTTTTTTGGGGTGCATAAATTTTCACCAAAATTGGCATTTTGGCACAAGATGTAGCAGATTTTCGTTCATGTTGCAATTGGCACAGCCCTTCCATCACTGTAAATGGAATGCTCAGGCTGCAGCTGGAAGGAAGCACTTCCGCCACCTGCTGGTGTAATCCGACAGTGCCAGCCACCCCTTTTTTTTCATGCTCTGCACCCAGTTTGGCAGCTCCAACCAGTTTGAGATTTTATTTCGCAGTTGTACGCACTATACAAGGAACCTTGTGCTGGCGCACTTCTTCTAGACTGACAAAAATGCAGCCATGCTGCAGCTATTCTTCACACGCATAGTTTTCTGATAACCGTTAGAATTTAATGTGCAAATGTTGCACTAGTGTTGCTAGACCACAAGCGTCACGCTGGCAAATTCCCTGCCTCGTTTTACGTTTCCACAGAGTCTGCAGTTGACATTGAAGCTCTCAAGAAGAAAGTCAAGGCAGCCAAGGTAACTTCGTTTATTCCTATATATACTACATTGTTTGTGGTCCTACAGTGTTGCGTGCAAATGACAGTGATGCGGTTTTTAGTTTTTGGTCGGCTTGGCCGGCCGTGAAATTCTCAATCTGATGGTTATCTTCTATGAAAGTGCGAGCGATGCAGCGATAGTCGTAGCCAGGGTGAGAGACAGGTGACCAGCTGCAAAAACAATGAAGCTTGCCAAAGCAAATCGAGCACATTTTGTTTTCCAGTTACAGAAATGGGACGTCATTGAATCACACATGAAACTAGATTTGCCACTTTCAAAAGCAATTCTGCGGCTCGAGGCGTCGCGTAAAATTGTCGGCACCGTTGATAAAATCTCGTCACGGATGTACCCGTTCCTATCTCGCATCCCCGCTCGTGATGCAAATCTCAAATTTTACGTCTTCTCTTTGCAGAAAAAGCCCGAAAAGAAGATCCAATGGCAGAGCTGAATTTGGTATCTACATGGTGTCTCCCTCCCCAAAAAATTGGCATTTTTTTAGTCGCAAAAATAAACTGGGCATTGCCGAACGCTCAGTCCCTGCCCAAATGTAACGCTAGCAGTCCGAACTAGCTGGCAAAGCTTCAAAACGAACCGTTATCTTATTCCAAAGTTCACAATCGATTTTGGGAAATTTTTTAACGAGACAATGGTAGCCGGCGGAGCCCGCGAACACATGGGACCGAATGGCGCAAACTGCCCGGAACTGGCCGCATTTTCCCATTGAATGTCTCAGAAAATCACTCGCAACTTTTGAATAAGATGACGGTTAGCTCCCAAACTTTGTTGTCTGGTCCAAACCGCTACCACTATAATAATAATAATAATAGTTTTTATTTTTATGTGTCCACAAACAGCACAGGGCCTTTTGTGTGGTACACAGCAAATGCTGACAAGATAAAAAGTATAAGCACAGAGAAAACATAGCTATCCCAAAAATAACTCACAAAACAAACATGGAACACATAGCCACATCTGACAAGCAAGATAAGGTAAAAGAAAAAGGGGCACTGAAAATACAACTACAGCAATCCCAAAAAGAAAGAAGAAAAAGGAAAACGCTAAAAATTGCAAAACACTGGGATCATGCAAACAATATCTTTGTTTGGGAGGAGATAGAGCATTTGGCAATGCATAGTTTATTTTAGAAATGAAAAAACTAAATATTTTCTTCTTTTTCTGGGGGGGGGGGGGGGGGGGATACGCTGTCTACTGTACATAGAAAGAATCTACAAGTTCCGGGTCTAAGGAAGGTCCGGCTGCTTGTATCTCGTCTCCCGGTCGTCGTTTCTGACGTGCTCCCTGAGGAGTGCCATCACCTCGTTCTCAAACTCGACGGGAGTTTCCCTGGCTCCTGAAAATAAAAGAAAAAAATCCAGAGCCACAAGGGCGTTACTGTTTCTGTCAGTTCGGCTGTACGTGATCACGCAAACCATCGTGATGCCCATGTACCACTGATGAACTTGCCTGTTGCCCAGTAATAAATATCCCAGTCGTTCGACGGCAAATTGATCACAATCTGTCGTACTGGAGAAGCTGGTCTTCCGTGAACTTGTCCAGGTATTTGGCGGCAAACGTGCTGTAAAACAAATTGATGTTTGCAAAGTATAAAAAAAAAATAGTTTTTTTTTTTTTTGCGAAAGAAGATTTGCATTGTTGAACACCCAGTACCATATTTCTTGGTGCATGATCAGCGGACTACACATGTTTAAAGGAAATTGTACCTGATGCGAACTATCTACAAGTGTGAATTATACAAGGCTTTGTTGTTGTTTTTTTCCTTGATCATTCACTCTGACAAGGTGCAAAGGATTTGATGAATAACAGACTATATTGATGTTGATTTACGCATAATATAAGCTTCTCCGAGAGTTAATGCGCCAGGCTATTGTCAAGGTGTGCTAATTTTTACGTTGGGACTGGGCACTAGGTGTGGACTATCTCAGCAAAAACTTATTTTTGACCGCAAATTTGCCCCTGCGGACTATGCACTGGGTGTATACTAGTCCGGAAAATACGGTAGTCATGCCCAAACGTAGCACTGTACTTCGTTTCAGCTCAGGTCCAGCCACAGCTTACGCTATGAGCTAATGGGACCAATCAGGCACCATCAAAAGTGCAAGTCATTGGGCCTTTTCTGTTTGATTGATTCGGCGATGATGGAACACCTGCAAAAACATCTGAGAAACATGGTGTGCTTTTGAAGCTGTCTGATTAGTCCCACCAGCTCGTAGCGTCGACTGCTTCTGCACTTGAGCTGAAACCAAGTGTAGTGGTCTGAATCAGAGGCCAGTCGTTGCAGGGCTTGCTTCTATCCCATTCAAAAGTCGTAAACAATTTTCGGAAATTTTTCATGAGCAAATTGCAGCCGACAAAATCCACGAATGCATGGTCGGCTACCTGGGGGCGGGCACCATCGAATTTCCATTGGAAATTCCCGGAAATCGCAACTTTTGAACGATGTAACGGCGACCATTGCATTTTTTTTTTTTTTTGGGGGGGGGGGGGGGGGGGGATCACGCTGGGAATTTATAAATACCTTAACACGAGATCGTTTTCAAGCATGCCTCTTTTACGGCTCTGGTACAAGAGCCTCGCCCGTCGTATTTCTGTGGTTTCGTTTGGTCTTTCGATGCAGCCAGTTGCTGTGGCGCCGGACATCGCACATTTGCCGTGTGATCGCGCGGCCGTGCTTCTTGGGAGAGCCTGGGGATTTGAATGGAAAGTGCGCCACAGTTACAACCCATACCATGTCGCTAGTTGTGGTTTCAACTGTCTAAAAGGTTCGTCGTTTCGCCTAGAGTTCTTCCACTGCCGAAGCCCTACATCGAAGGCAAGTTTTCACTTACAAATGCATAGCATCGTGCACGCGCGAACGCAGTGCGTAGCATTTTCTCGGCAGCAGACAACGGTGCGTGTAAAAGCAGACGGACGGACGATGGCGAGGGTGGAGTGCGGTCGCGTTGTGTGGTCACGGCGTGTGCTCTACGCAACTTGTATCCACTCAAACACCACGAGCGCACAAGAAACCGATGTAGAAGACGTCATATTCGCTCAAAGTCAACTTTGTTCGACGTTTGAATAATCGAAGCGGCTCGGCGTGCGCTCGATTGCTCGGATGCTTTTACACGTTGTCACGTGATTTAAAGGGAACATTAAAGTGCCTCAACAGAGGGTGCGTCGGTCGTTTCTTGCAGTTTCTTCGTTTGTTGTCGTGTTTTCATCTTCTATATTTGGCTCAACGTTCATTAAGCGGTCGTGCGCGTTTGTCCGCCGGTGTGGCCAGAAACACGAATCAACAGTTTGGCGATGTGAAACTTGTCCACTGCGGCGCCAGCAGATTTTAATCCACGTGCGGCGGCGACTTCGACTCCCAGCGATAGCGTCCCCGAGGTTTCGATTCCGGAGAAACCGAAGCTACACGGTCATCATAGCGGAGCCCAAAGAGCGTCAGGTATTCCAATGTATGGGCGACACATGAGGCGCATGTTCTGCCAAAAACAAACACCTTACGTACGGGTGCACCGCTCAAACGTAAATAGTAAACCGGCTGAAACACTGCCCCCAACGAATTGCTTACCAATAAAGTACAAATTAAATGTATAATCCCGTATTGCGAACATTTGACGCGCTATATCCGAATCCGCCGGTTCGATACAAACATCAATACGTTAGTGCGTGCACAGGTGGTGTTTCTGGTTGGTCTGGTTTTTACGGCTTTTAACACGAAAACATGCTGCACTGCTCTTATAGCAATATATTTAGTGCGTTTCTTTTTTAACATATATACTGATTTTGGTTCTGCTCTAACAGGTAGTTTTCTATCGTTAGCACGGTGTGGCTGACCGGCTGACCCTTTAAAAGTGATTACAACTGTTGATCGAATCACGTATGTACACAAGTTATTACAAAAAAATTAAAAAAAAAAGCCAGGATGAAATTAATTTTATTATAAAAAGTCTGCTACTGCAAACATGATTTCTGGCCTCACCAGCTCATTAGTATTATTTGTTTGTGTCTTTTCAGCACTCACGAAATAATTACTCCTATGCACCCCCCCCCCCCCCCCCTCCCTCCCTCCCAAAAAAATATTCCTGTCTATGCCACTGATATGCTCCCCACCAACACAAAAATTATATCTATATACACATGTGCTCGAGATAAATCGGCACATGCCAAGTGACCACTGTACACTATAGTACCCCTTGTTTTCAATTTAATCATTTATTTTATTTATTTACACAAACAATATTATTGTATAGAATTTTTAGATGTGCATTTCACATAACTATGGCAATATGCATATTCTGAAATGATAAAAAGGATGGATGTTAAATGTCAGCGTTAACTGTCTTTCACTGCATGTCTTGTTGGAAAGCGGTTGCCACACAATCGGAAATCTGACATTTTCCTCTGGGCACATTGAATCCATTATTGCGATACTTAGGCAACAGAGCCATTTGCTTTTTTTTTTCTCTTGCATCTGCTGTCATTAAGAGAACTGGTTTTGGCATCAGGTTGTTTGCTTTGTCGACTGCAAGTCTGGCCCTAGAATCGTTTGCTCGGAGCAGACAGCCAGTCCAATTTTTGCGTTTGTAGCAGCATGAGGAACTTGCATCGCTCATACTATATATAACTGGTTTAATCAAAGTGCTTGTATTTTTTTAAAAATATTTTTGTGGCAAAGAATTAAGTTTCCTTAAACAAACTGTTACTTTTCTCAGTGGTTCAAGCAAAGAGCAGATATGAGATAGGTTCATAATAAGGTCACAGCTTTTCTTTGTAATTTTATCAACTCTTAGAGAGATAGCACAATCACTACTTGGTTTGAAGCACCTCTTCTAACCCTTTCAGATAGCTTGCAGAGATAGTTCTGCTCCATTGAAGCTCCTGCATTTTGTTGTATACTATTTTATAATAGCTAGGTGCCGCCAATTGTATCTGTGTGCTTGGTTTCATTTAGAACAGCACAGTTGCGTGGTCTGACATTGGTGGCTTAGAGAAAAAAAATAATTGGTATTCATTATGTTTGTTTTTCCACTATAATGCTTATAACAAAAATATGTACTCCAATAAGGTTGCATCGAAAAGTTCTAACAGTTGCCTGACACACTTTCAGAAGCACATATGTAGTGGTTTGTTTGCCTGAAGCTTTTAAAGATAGCGGGGAAGATGCAGAAACGGCTCTCGTTCCCGGTAAAAGACAGAAATGTGGGCGTCTTTCCCTTATCGCTGTTGTCTTTTCTTTCAGCAAGCTGCGGGGAAGGCACGGATCAACAAGGAGATTGTGTTGGGGGTCTCGGGTTTTGAGTGCGGGGGCCCCACTACTGAGATAGCGTCGTCCGCAAACTAGCAGGCAACGGCATGAGCAGACGACGCACAAGGCACTGAGCAGACGGCGGCACCATGTTTCAGCTGCAGAACGGGGCTGGGGAGGAGCACGAGAACCTCAGGGTTGTGGACGTGTTTGTCGATGGCTCGTCGGAGGAATCGCTCCGCTGCGGTGCACTGAAGGTGCTTCGACATGTGCGACCGGATTGGGACTTGGACAATGTCTGCTTTAAGGTAGGATTTCTTCATCCATCCCCCAATCCAGCTTTTTCGGAAACACTAGTGCCACTTGCCTGGAAATGTACACTCACACAGACTGGGTAGGGTGACGCTACACACATCTCGACTTCGCTTCCGAAGCTCCGGCAGTTTTTTAAGCTACCCAATCTAAACACATTTTCGGAAAGCCCAGGTTTTACTACTTCCAGAATGCTGTTCGTTATATTTAAATTAAAAATAGCTATGAGAACATGAAAAATGAAGGTGATGCCAAAACGAACGCTCAAAGTTTCCCGCACACTCTAGTAACGTGATGTCACATGTTGCGTAACTTACAAGTGGAGTAGGCGGTCCACTAAAAGTGCAGTATTTTGCATGTTGTTTCCACCTTGCTGGCACAAGCTTCCCCAGCATTTATTTAACATCACACTTTTTGTAGCCCGTCAAGAACAAGCTGTACTGCCCCCCCCCCCCCCCCTCCCCCCTCCCCTGTATGCTACATTTGATGTCATGTTTTTCAGTGTTGGCAGGAAAGGCTCTCGGCCTCTCGAACCAAACTTGAAACTTCAATAATAATCATAATAATAAAATATAATGATGCTTTTTTGTTATTCCGTACCTCAGAAAGACCTAACTCCCGATATGAGGCACGTCTGCGATTATGCTACTTGCGCAGCACGCTCATAGAAAAACAACATAGTTAATAAAAAAGTAAATCGAAGCCTGATGTTTTTGCATTTAAAATGCACATACTTTGTAGAAGCATCTAAAGACTTATTTGGGTTAAATGGCATCAAGAGACACTTGCATGCGGCTGATCAGGCACACCTTCTCTCGAGAACCAGGATTGAAATGTCGAGGCATGTGACAGTTAACGAAACAACTAACGGAATAACTTTGCAAAAAAAAAATTAATTGCGACTTGTTACTAACTTAGATCTGTGTATTAATGTGTGGAACCGATTTCGAGTCAAATATTATACTCTGTATCATACTTAGGGTTCAACGCCGTCAAAGCTGAGTGCATGAATGCAGTGTTTGATCTTGCAGATCATTTGCATGAATTCTCGTGCAAATTAAACCACAGATGAAACCACGCTCACATGCCAGTAGCTTTGACAGTGCTGTATACTAAGAATGAAGTGGAGTATGGTGGCTATTAAGATTTCGCGGGAGCTCACCTTTATTAATGTCGATGACAATCACACGCTTACAGACGTTTACAGACGGAATTACAAACCAGCTGGTGGGCTGCTGGGAAGGCGGGGGCACCCTGGGGGAGGATGCGGTGCTGCTGCGCATCTACGGCCAGAAGACGGAGCTGTTCATCGACCGGTCGGCCGAGGTCACCAACATGCTGCTCCTGCACGCACACGGCCTTGCCGCGCCCCTGCACTGCGCCTTCCGCAACGGCTTGTGCTACGGCTACAACACAGGGCGCGTTGGGGACACCGCCCTCGTCTGCCACCCGCATATCTCCAAGTGAGCCCCCAACCAATCGATCAATCAACCAACAAGTCAGTCAATCGTCTGCCGTTCACACACCTCCAAGTGAGCCCCCAATTGGTCAATCACTCGTCTGCCACCCACATGTCTCTCAGTGAGCCCCCAATCAATTGATCAATCAGTTATCTGCCACCCACAGGTCGCCCCAAGTGAGCCCCCAGTCAATCAATCAATCGTTTGCTGCCCTCACGTCTCCAAGTGAGCCCAATCAAAAAATTGTATGCTGCCCACATGTCTCCAAGTGAACCCCTAATCAATCAGTCAATATTTTCGAACGTGATAGAAATAACAGCTGCAAAAAACGAGGACCATGAAAGGAACACTTGCTACAGGACAACAGCTGTACTCGCAACTGAACTTTATTACTCGGAAGGAAAGAAGGAAGAAAACACATAACATGTCTCCATCAAATTACGTGGTGTGCACACAACAAAAGGCCCTACACGTGGCCCATATCGTCAAGGGGGGATTACTGGACACTACTTGTGCCGCTCATGGTTGGGCAAAAGAAAGGTATTCCTTTGTCAGAGGGAGCCACCGACAGCTTGCTGACAGATCTTGTGCCTAGGCACAAAATAAACAAGGTCTCAATAATTTTGTGCATAGTCTTCTCTCTGTGTCTCCAGTTAAAGCACAGCTGTTGTCCCATCGCATGTGTTCCTTTCATGGTCATTATTTTTTGTAGCTCTTATTCCTGTCACGCAGGGGTGAAAGCGCTGTGCCATTGTGCGCCAATCCATTTTCGCTGTGCCATCCGGCTCCCAAGAGCAAACGCTGCACCAAAACTGCCAAAATAATTTATTTTTATTGCTAAATTTATGGAAGTATTTTTGTTTACTGGCCACAGTGGTTTACCGAGTTGTGTTTGTTATATAATTCTAAACCGGGCAAAAAGAATGCACCATACCGATGTGATTGTGTCAGCATTAAAGCAGGCGACTTTGTTTGTTGAAAACAGGAGCCAAGCACCTATTTTCTTCTAAGGAGAATGACCATGATTTATTCCGGACCAGGTAACTATACGCAGTGTTCCATTTTGTTTCATGGTCTCGTGTTGATGGGCTGTCAAGTGCCAGCAGCATGAGGGGAAAAGTAAATTCTTTGATTATTTTTCAGAAATATACTATACTGTATTAAAACGAATATATGAGCAGCACACAGTAAAAGTGTGTTTATTTCTTTTGCCCGTACCAGTGCCTTTGAAGCACTTGTTTGGGCACTTTGCTTTGTGCTGTCAGTGCCACAGCTCAGCCAACAACAACAACGTGTAGGTGTCTGATCTCCAAAAATGGAACATGCATTGGTGACTTTGTTAGAAGTACTTGGGCATCAGTTTGTTATTTACTTGTTATATTTTTTGGCAGAGTGGCACCAAACTTGGTCGCGTATATTCGAAATACTGTACACATTCAATGGCATGTATATAAATCATCATACCTAAAAGCGTGCTGGCACGTGGTCACCTATCATCTAATATCTCGGGAAAGCGGCAACTACTTTACGAGATTAGACATATTTTTGCTCTTTTTGCATGTTTAGGGTGTTTGCCGTTGCTGGGACCGCTTCTGTGCTCCTTATCCTTGTTGTAAACGTAACACTAAAAGCAATTATTGGCATGTCTCCTCTGTAAACTTTCTTTCTTGTAAATGACATACAAGGCAAATACATGCTCTGGCCATCAAACACAAGCCAACTGAAGGCCAAGGTGAACAGTGGGAATATCCTGCTGAATGACGCAAACTCTAAACTATTGTGCTAGAATGCATCCAAGCGACTTACTCGTGAGGAAAACCTTGTCTTGTGGTCTTACTTGCTAGTTTTGTCCATCAGATTTTATCAAACCTCTAAGCGAGCTCCTTTATTGTAGTGAGTCATGCTTGTTCCAGTATGGGCTTAAAGGGATGGTGAACCGTAATTTGGATTTCAAAAAAACAATGCTGGAGATGTAGGCGGGACGCTACAATCCCTACAACACTACTAGTAAGGCGATGTCTCAAATGGACGGCCGTATTCTTGGAAAAGAAAGTTGAGATTAAACCAGGCCGACGAGGCGCGTGACGTCAAGCTACCTAGTTTCCTCCTCTGTTCGCTTCGCTCCCTCAAGGCCGGGAGGCGGAGAAGACGCGAGGCCGTTCCCTCTCCTTCTCAGAGAAACATGACGTCAACATTCCTGCCAAATGCGCCCCTTTTTTTTGAGAAATACGCTCATCCGTTCGAGATATCGCTGTATGAGTGATGTTTTGGTGTTTGTAGCATCCCGTTGCACGTTTTGGCCGCGTGTTTTGGGGAATCCAGATTTCGGTTCAGCATCCCTTTAAGCAGCGTATGTAGGGGCAGGGATGCTATTATAAAGTTTTTAATATTTTGCATTTGTACTTTTATCATAGAGAGTAGAATCATACTCTGTTAACTTGGGTATTGGAATTAATTTATGTTGGCAAAACAGGTCACTTATAACATTTGTATTGTCTATCGATGAAAAGTAGTCGGTAAGGATGGGGCTTTATTTCAAACCATATTATTGCCTCTTGATATGGTTTTGTTTTCAGTAGACTTATGGAAGTTGTGATTTGGGTTGTTAAATAGGTACAACTTCTAGCAGGACAGTTCTCAATAGCTGCCGTTCACACGAATTACAATCAAGCTGCTTGCTTTTGATGCTATGAGCTGGATTGTATTTAAGGAAAAGGTATGTTTGGAAATGGTTCTGGGACGTCATATGGAGATGCCTTTTGCGCTGTGCTACTTTTGTATTTATAAAAACACATCTGAAGTTATAGCCACATCTTTAACCTGGGTGACCAGATGCAATATTTACTTGTACTGCTACAAAACTCTACTTTTGTGGTTCCTAAACTGTTCCAAAGGAGCTATTACTGCTCCCAGACTTTCTGCAAAAGGCAGAAGCTCTCTTCCACCCCTGCTGTCATGTTAAACTATTACCAACTCGCCAAGTTCAACACTCTATCCAGTCTTGTTTATTTCCTTTTCCCAAGGCAAGAAGGAACTTTCCTTGGTAGGTCTAAGGGTACAAAAGGCGTAACAGTCGCCTGACGGTACCAATGGCCTGCAGGCATGCGGCTATCTGCGCACTCCCTCCCAATGGTGGTTGATGGAAGCGTAGAATCGTTTCTTGGTTTGGCTACCTCTCCGTGATTCTGTTCTGATCATAGTTGAAAGAACAGTGAACTCCCCTCCCCCCAAAAGATTTTCCAAGTGCCTAAATAGGAGATATGCATGTCTCAACAACCTTAACTGAAGAAAAAACTCTAGCACAATATTTATGTTGCAAGACCCATTTTCAGATAGGAGTAGTGCCGTGCGAATATTAGAATTTTTAAATAGTAGTTTCGAATAATGCGCTATTTGAAATTCGCTTTGAGAGGAACTGCAATATTCAGACTTTTCAAAGTGTTGATCGCGGCAAGTCAGAGCTGTATGTAGAGAGAGTTTGGCCATTCATTGGGAAGTGTAGGAGGCAATTGATGAGGTGCCATTGGCCAAAAACGGGGTGGGCATGTTCCAGGGCGTCTTCGGAAATTTAATAGTGGCCAACCAGAAGCTGCAAATATTACTCTGGTGGTGGTCACTAGAAGGAAAATTAATAAATGCGTCGGAGGATCTCTCAGTGACTGAAAATATGGTGCACGTAATGTTTCGATCCACACTCATCCAAAATCATAGTGGAACACATATAAATATATATAGAAGATATAAAAAGCGTGCGCGACTACCAGAACGATCAACATAATTCGTACGCCAGGCACCGAGGGCCGGGTATCTGCCGTCCGAGGGGTCAAGTTCTGTCCAACAAAACAGAGTTCGAGCGGCACATTAGTTTCTTACATCTTTTTACATGATCATAGGCGAAACATCAGGTGCACCGTATTTTCATCCATGAAGAGTTACTACATTCAACTCTTACATACTTCTTCAAACTGTTTCTCGCTACCATCACAAAGGGTATTAGTTTCGGCTTCTGGTTGGCCAAGAGAGCATGTCAAGTCCTCTACCTGCGTCTGGTGCACGCATTGACCAAGCTCTCTCTATAAATGGCTCTGCGGCGAGTTAGCCCCGTTGAGTGTGCTTCTCACCGAGCACCTGTGCACTGCGGGGAAGCAATACCCGCGACAGAGCTCATGGGCTTTTTGGGTATTGTTTCCCACAGCACATAGGTGCTCGGTGGGAAGCGCACTCAACGGGGCTAGCCCACAGCGATTATGCCACTGTTAGGCGGCAATGTCTTGACAACCTGCTCTCATCATTCGTGCTTGTTTAGTTGTTTCTTTTTGTCAAATTTGAAATTGAAGAAATGATATTTGCATATATAGCGAGCAGATCTATAAATCCCCTCGATTAGGATATCTGCGACAATTCTGTTCTTCACATGCCGCAGTCAATAAATATATCTACATTAGAATTAACTGAGCTTAGAAGTGGACAAACAGAAGGTTGGGAACAGCCTTCACGAGTTCAGCTGAATTCGTTTAAGCATGATGCACGGTAGTGAAAGGCTTGGAGAAATCATTCAATATTTGATTAGAAATTATTCGGTCAAAACCTCTATTCGCTTCAAACTCAAAATCCACTATTCGCACATGACTAGCTAGAAGTGATTCCAAAACATGTTTATATTTCAGGGTCAATGTCTTGATGTAGAAGTATGTTTCAGAATCGCTCGCTAACTCAGAATGAGTCTTGCAACATTTATATTGTGCTAGAAATTGTTCAATTTTTTTCATTGAAAGCTTATCTTGGGGCATTCGGTATCTAACACTTCAATTTAAAAAAAAAAAAATATATATATATATTTAGGGTGGGGGGGTTTGAGGGGGGGGGGGGAAATTATGCGACAATACTTTTGCTTCGATTAACTCTGTCTTCCAATCATAGTTAAAGCAGCCGTGAAATAATTTCTGCCATTTGGGTAACTTCTTTCTGATTTTATGTTCACTCTCTCCCACACATACTTTAAGGAACCATGGAACAACAAGTTTTTGCTTTGATTCTCTCTCTGCAACTCATGTTCTTCACTGAAACAAATGAGGGCAATAGACATGTCTGAACATCGAATTTCTGACTGGAAATCAAATTTGAATTTTGAAATTAGATTGCAAATCATATTAAAATATTTTTGAATGTTTTACATTTTAGGGAACATACATATGAAAAGGAACAGTTTTGTTGCATGAAAAGAATTCCACATACTGGTATTAAGAAAGAAAAAAGGCAATGATTAGATGAGTCAGGTCAAACATGATATAACATGATAGGCAAAGGAATGACTACGCTATTTAAAGAGAAATTGAAACGGTTCTGTCTTTCAGGAAAAACACTTAAATCGTCTTCATTTGGCCTCCTGGATTACAAACATCGAGATTATTTTTCAATTTGGTGCACGGAGGCTTGCAGAAAATCATTTTCAAAGTACCACTCAAGCCACTCCTTCCCGGAGTGTGATGTCATATCCAGAGTTTTCAGAATCTCCACTCTCGCACATTTTCAGCCCCTATCAAAGCTATGCACATGCTCTCCTGCCATGTTCAAAAAGGTTGGAAAAAGAAGTCACGAGTGGTGTCGGTGCGGGGGAAAATACTTGGCTAGCTTGCGTTGCACGCGCTGCCCACACGAGCAACACACCCTTGGCGGCCGAAAGATCTGGGTATGACATAACGACTTTCCGGAGATTTTTTGTTTTCTCGCATACGGTTGCATTTTCGGGGAGAACAGACGTGATATTCGGATTCACAGGATAAAGAATACTCTAGAATTCACCTCTAACTCGTTTTTTTCTAAGAACCTCTTCAGCTTCCCTTTAATTTAAAGAATCGAAAATATGAAGATGAATGACCCATACTAATAAAATAGAAAAAAAGTTACAAATCCCCCCCCACCCCCCCCCCCCCAAAAAAAAAAAAAAAAAATCTTTGTTTTTTTTAGCATTGTTTATGAAATTGGGATCAAACTGTTATCATAACCATTGGTGGCTGTCCTACAATAGTGTGCCGAATTCCCGAGCCCATCGAGCCAACCAAATGGCTCCAAGGCTTTCAGCCGTTTTCTTAGTATGGCAATGCAAAGCAGGGAAGCTTGACACGCGACCACCGGCGCGAAGGAGTGAAGCTTGACGCCGGAACGCTAGAGCGAATTTTGAAGACGTCGTTCATAATTTTCGAATTTTCAAAGAACTCTAGAATACTTTAAACACTAAAGGTGTGCCAGAAGAACCCGTGCCATAGTTGACCTCTGTGTGCATGCCTCCACTCTACGCAGGTTGATAGCGCAGACCCTGGCTCGGATGCACTCGCTGAAGCTGTGCAAGGGGGGCCGCAAGGCTGTACCCTCCCTGTTTCCCACCATGCGGAAGTACCTCAGCCTCATTCCCACAGAGTTTGCAGACCTGGCGAAGAATGAAAGGTGACTTTTTGCTTTTTAGGTGCCTCATTGAGTATCTGGATGCGGACGGGGGCATTTAGTGTCATCCTGTTGGTTTTCTTTTGCGTTTGACTGTGGAGGTAGGCTCTTTTTTTTTAGTTTTCGTGACAGGCAAAGATTTTTCGTTAAGCTGGAGGTTTGTGACTTTGACAAGTGGGCTTTGTATTGACACCTTTTTCCCCCGAACATTGCAAGCACTCTTATCTTGTGGAAAGAGGTGTTATATTATGTGTGTTATTGTTATACCCTTGCGTACCACAGTTTTGGCAAGCAAATTTATTATTATTATTTTTTTTTTTTTTTATTATGATTATTACTTTAAAGTTGGTCTTCCTGTCAGTTTTGTTTCTTCTTGATCAGTTCAAGATTTTGTTTTCAGTTGAAAGATTTTTTTGTGATCTCATCTGCTTTTCGTTGTGTCCAGGGGAAGGTTTTAAGGTGCTTTGATAGCACTTGCTGGATTTTTCAGTTGATTAAAATACCCTTCCTGTTAGCTGTCTGTCCAATCCTAACTGAGTGGCATTCTTACTCTACAAGACATGCTAGTGGGATTAATAACGAGAGATAAAGTAGGTGTCATAATTATGAGTTGGTTTCTTTTTTAATGAGCACTGATGAGTAAAAAAAAAAAAGAAGAAGCTTAAAGGGACACTGACAGGGTATTTATGCTCGCTGAAGTGTTTAGTTGTACGTGACATATGAGAGCTCAACTACCTAGAACAGAATTTGCGGCTCGAAATTCGGTTTCTTTCCGCCCGAAAACCGCCGATCAAGAACTGGCCGGTTCGAGTCTCGCTCACTCTCTTTTCCGCGGTCACGGGCCATTTTCTAAGGTATCGATGCGACCACCAAATTTAATCAAAGTCGTGGGTCACTGAAGGCGCACACTCAATATTAAAAACAGAAAAAAATATTAAACCCATTCTTTGTGGCTTCTAAAAAGCTGCAAATACGTTGATTGAAAAAAAAGTTCCACAGACAACCGGAAGCATTCTGTGCGTGCGTCGTTTCGCGTATCGTGGGACTCGCAGGGACGGCGATGGCAGCGGACGACGAACTGTCGTTCGCGGTACCGGCGAATTTTGTCTACCTTTAAAAGAGAAATTTGGGACTGGTCAAAAGAATTGGTATTCATCCCGTACGACACGCCCGACCACCAAGCCGATTTGCACGAAGACGTCGCCGAGCCGTCGCTCCCTTCTTGTGGCTGAAGACATCGCTCGCGCAAACGTCAAGCGCGACGTGTCTACTTCGAGTTGAATATGCACGCGTACGATTTCTTTACTAGGTGAGAATGTCGCCAATGCGTGGTGCATCCCGACTTCGACCCGGGAGTGCTTTTGCTACAGGAAAATCGGCAGCAAACTTTCCAACTTACAGTTTATCGGCTGAATCGTTACTACGGAAAAAGATCTCCCAGTTTCTATGCGCCCCAGTAGCTCAGTGGGAAAGACGTCCGCGTCACACGCGGTAGGACTGGGCTCGATCCCCCGTGAAACCCTCTTTTTTTTTTTATATAAAATATTTTCTGATGTCTCCATTTCTTTTTTTTTTTACAATTATTGCTGAAGAAACAAAAAACACAAAAATAAAACAAATGTGGACGACACGTCGCTGAATTAAATGGTATGGGATTTCCTTTTTGACACCTGCGAACTCAATGTAATCACTTTTCACAAAATGCAAGGAGCATATAAATCAGGTAGCGTCCGCTTTCCGATGTGCCCGTAAATGTTCTACAGGAATTGCAGCCAGCCATTGGTCCCGATCCCGTTGATCTATCGGAAACCCTGTCGCACAATGCCACTTCTGTTTCGGACGCAGGACATGTGAGCTAGCTCTTCACGCAACATCTTGGGTGTATTCTTTTCGGAGCCCATCAAAATTCACCACGGGCACTCACTACTCATCTCCAACTCCTCAATGTACAAAACGACTCATCTTGGAGTACAGAACAACGAGCGGAACATACATAACTGCAAAAGAATCCCACGGCGAACAGTTCCCGTACGCCGCATGTCGTCTGCAACGGGAAAAAGGAAAAAAAAAAAAAAAAAAACACGGTCGGGTGTAGCCACGTGACTTCCGCCACTCACTCTCTTTTCTCCACTTCTCCGACCTCCGTCGGGTTTCGGTTTCGGTTTCGAGCAGTTGCGTCTTTTGGCTTTATTAAAAAAATACGCGACTCTGTTGCAAAATATTAATTGGGTAGTCCTATGACACCATAATAAAGCGCCTGGCAAAAAATTAAAAAAAAAATTTGGGGGGTGTCAGTGTCCCTTTAAAGTAGCATTTAATTAACTCACCATGATCAGTTGTCGAGAAGAGGTGTCTGTAAAAACGGAGCACGGCGCTCGCAGCTCGTTAAAACTGCTGTTGTTAAGTCGAGCTGATATCGTACATACAATTTTAAAAAAGAGGTGCTGCCTTTAATTTTGTTTTGCGCTTCTTCAGTTGTCTACGGCATTATGTTTTATTTATTTGTGTTTGCTTCGTTTGCTTTTTTCTGGACAAACAAATGTTTTGTTTGCGCCTGCCGATCTGCCCATTCCCCTGCGGCCTGTCGAGTAGAGAGAGGTGAGTGCGACGGTCATCGTGAATTCCTGGAACAATCTTTCTGCACCCTACTGCTTCCTTTTTACTACTGGCTGTTCTTTTGGATCCTCTTTTCGCAGTCTGCCTGTGGTGGAGGATCTCTGCAATGATGACATTCCTTTCCTTTGGGCTACCACTTCTGCTTTTACCCTTTACCTCGTGCCCTTTTGCGCTTCCGAGAGTGAGCCATAGTCGGCTCTAGTCACTGCAGTACAACGCTCCAGTTAGTTTGTTCGTCTCCGAGGGCCTATGCAAGGAGCTGGGAGTGGTAAAAAGTCAGTGCATTGTTCAGTTGTTCTACTGATCTGTACATATCATGCTGATATTGTATGTATCTTGTTAATGGTATGGTATGTACTGGTGCATTGAGTCCCCATCTATATATTTTGCTCCTTTTAAGTTTTAGTATAGCCTGAATGTAATATATGTTATAGTAGCCTTTTACATACTCTTTCGGTACTTTTGTGTAGCTTCCAGAACTTAGTTGGCAAACTTAACACAAGTTTTGCATATTGGCAATTTTTATTAATGCTAAAGTTTACAATGTCTAGGGTCATGTGAAACTCACCATCAGCATAACAGTTTGTGAACTTTACTGAGGTTCTAAAATGAGGGATGCATAACTGTGTTCAAAAAGTAAAAAAAAAAAAAAAGTTTTTGTTACGGTTGAAGCATTATTTCCCCAAAGTTGGGGAGTCAAGCAACCGTAGTGGAAAGAACTGCCCTTTATGCCAAACCCTAATCTTAGGACTCTAAAAGAATCAGCAAATGGACCAACACAAATGTGGTTCCAACTGCAAGATCAAGACCGCTTGTGCACTGGCCTCTTTTTGTCTTTGTCCCTTGGGTTACATTCGACTGTCACCAATTTTCTTACTTTTCCCTCTGTCTCACGTTAAAAAAACACTGAAGTAAAAAAAAAAATTTTTTTTTTTATAAATGCTTAGATTGGACACCTGTCACAAAGCAAATATCTGTGAAATAAATTTTTTTAGTGCATACATTAATGTTGCGAGGCTAATTTTGAGTTGGGAGTGACTCAAAGCCAACATCTCGAAAGAGAAGCACATTTCCTAATTGGTTCAAGTTCAGCTTTTTAAAATGTGTCTTGGAACTTAAATGTTAAGCAAAATTAACCTTTTTTTTCTTCGTAAGTTTATTTTGTCAAAAATTAGCTTCTCGGGAGTTCAGTGTTCCTTTAACGTGGACCGCTGCAAAGGCTACAAGCATGAGCAGGCAGCTTTGGCTAGTGCTTTGGCATCCAGAGTGTCTGCGATCACAAGCGAGTAGCTTGCACTTAAATTGCCGTCGCCGCGGTTTGTGTTAAGACGAGACATACTACCTACCCTGGTTTGAAGCCCCCAGTGCGACAAGTGGCACCCTCTCTTGAAGGTTCATGTCCTGCATCCCGAGCAAGTTGGAGCTTGAGCGGGAGGTTCGGATCTTGGAGGAGCACCTTTCGGGGTTGGGCTCGCCCGTCGTGTTCTGCCACAACGACCTGCTCGTCAAGAACATTATCTACCAGGAGACGGAAGGTGTGTCTCGGCAGTTGCACTGTTTTTCGATTGGCCGAGATCGGTGGGTAGGAGGAAATAAGTGATAGAATTGTCAAATACTAGTCGTTTAGTGTCGTGCGATCAGCGGTGAATTGTTTCTTAGAAGTGTTCAATATTGGGAGGGACTGCACTTTAAAAAAGCTGGGTATTAGTGGGGAATAAATGAGGATGACTTAAGAACAGTGTCACAGATTGCGAATGTGTGTATTTGAGAAATCCGAGCGACGATAGAAAATCTGTACCATATAAAATCCTGTAAGGGCACCCATCCAAAATGAAGAGATAAATGGTGAAAAACATAAGGGCTATCTTTGGGGACGAGACGGCAAAATCATAAAAAAATTATGATGAACACAGGGGCACCCTCTACAAACCATATGACACGAGAACTGATACCGCAGATCGCAGTCACAGCAAATTTGGGTTTCACAACGCAAAAAACGAGCGAGAAAAGATACTGCAGACTGCAGATGCAGCAGATTCGTGTTTCATGGTGCGACGAAGACGCGGAATCCGGCTACAAACAACCGATATCGCGTGCGCCAATTGCGGACAAAAACACAAAAACTCTCTACGAACTCGCGTGTCGCGGGAACCGATGTTGCACGCACAGATTGCGGACAAAAGCGCAGGAGCCTGCTGCAAGCTCGCTTGTCAGATGTACTGGTACCGCAGACCATGCGGTTGATGCAGTTCCCCTTGGACATCAAGGAATGTTCGACGAGAGTCACATCAACCGCTCGTTCAGGGGTAGGCGGCGTAGGAATCGGGGGGGGCGAAGTTTCGGAATTTTTACGTTACCGATATTTAGCCAGAAAAAGGGGACGGGCGACCTGTCGGGGGTGGGCACCCTTACGAGATTTTACGGTACATGGCACACATTGTTTTCCTTTAAGAACTTCCAAACTTAAATTTCCTTTCAGACAAGGTGATCTTCATAGACTTTGAGTACGCCGACAACAACTACCAAGCCCTGGATATCGGGAATCACTTCTGCGAATTCGGAGGTGAGTTTTGACTTTTTCGCTCTCTGCATCCGCGTCCAATTGCCTTGTCATGTCTGATTGTGATCGCTAATCACGTTATCGTTTGTCTCGTTTTCTTTGCATCGATCTTGGGTCGACAAGGCGTGGCAAAGTTCGACACGTCGTTGTACCCCGCTCGCGAGTTCCAGCTCTCCTGGCTGAGGCATTACCTCGAAGAGTGGTACGGTCTTGTGGGCCGGGGCCGAGTGACGGACGACGACGTCCAGCTGCTCTATGTTCAGGTCAACAAGTTTGCTCTGGTGAGTTCCGCCGCCTCCTCCTTCGAGATTTCATGTCGCACCGGCCATACGGCGACATGGTGCAAACTACGAGGGCTCCATCGGTCGTTCACACGCTCAAGTTTGCGTGAGATCGAGTTAAAATGCAATCTCTTAGGATGCGAGAACACGACACTAGCGTGCTGGCACTATCTACGAGGTGACCCCGACACCGCATTTCACTAGAGCGAAGGTTTCTCGGCATTTGCGAGATCGATTGTACTTGCCGTCTACGAAATATATGGTCGTTGATTACATTGTCATAGAGTTTTCAAGATAAAAAAAAAAAGGATGTGCGACAGAGAAAAGAAGGAAATATACGATAAGAAACCATTACCTGCGTCAATTAAGACTACGGTTGTAGTGAGCTGTAGTTGGGGACTCGGTTTGCGACTGCGGTTTGAAGGCTCGAATGAAATTCTGAAGTCAACTTTTGGCTGCCCACACATTTCGAGCGGATTCGTGTGAACAACACTGGTTTCAACCTGTACATCGTCTGCGCGTTAAATTTTTCCCGTCTGCCTCCGCCACATTTTATTCCGAATTCTCGGAGTGGCTCTAACAATCGCGCCACTTCTCTTTCCAGGCTTCCTGCATGTTTTGGAGTCTCTGGGCTCTGATTCAGGCTGCACATTCCACGATCAAGTTTGACTTCCTCCAGTAGGTTTCACTTTGCAACTTGCTGGCCGTAATGCATGGGCTTATGCAAACTCGCGCGCAGTCGGCACAAGCCGAAACTACCCTGCCGTTAAAGTTAATAAAGCCTCGCAATGATTTTATGCCTTTTGCTAAATGCACTGTTCATAAGGAATTCTCGATGCTTGTTACATGTGGGGTGCGCATTAGGATTTCTTTCTGCCTCCGTACCTAGAGAAGGTTCCGATACCAACTGTTCAATGATGCCTACCATCATCACGCATGTGGGCTTCGTGTCGTCGGGCACAATTGGGGAAGGTATTTTGGATTAAAGTTTGCGTTCAGTATAACTGTACTTTCACATATATATATATATATAGTTTTTTTTTTTTTTTGTGAACGATTATTTTAATGTTTGCTAGGTTTTATCTTTTTCCGATGGCCGTGTCCTTGTTGTCCTCCGTGTGTCCTCGTTCAAGAATGTCCCTCCTCTTTTATGCCCCCTAGATCAGGCCCTACATATATACAAACAAAATTAGCTTTTTTTCTTTTTTTCCCCATTGCACACTTTAACGCATCTTCACAAATGACAAGCATGTGCTTTTCTTTCAAAACAAAAATGCAGGTTTGCTGTCGAACGACTGGACCTGTACAACAAGCGGAAGACTGAATTCATGGAGCTGGAAATTCGTCCGAGGTCCTAAAAGCCTCGCGGTGAAGCCGGCGAAGCGAAAACAAAGGGGCGAGATTACCTACTTCTTCTAGGAACTGTCGGGGCAAGATTTCATACCTCGCCGTCACGCAGAACTATTGACTACGTGACCGGAACGGCCAATTGTTGTTCTCTTCTTATTTACATAGTACGTGTGTGCCGTTTCAACAGTGTACCTCGGCGGCAGTATATTAGTCTTTTATGGGACCACTGCCCGTAAGCATTGTCCACATACCTTCGGATTTCCTACCCCTAAAAAAGTACTGGCAAAGGAACATAGAGATTTTTGCTCGGACTTGAAAGTTGGAGTGACGGGTCTCGGCCACAGTGCCTTACCTACCGCATTTTTTAGGAGGTCGACGCAAACTTCACCGTCGGGTTTTTCCCGTCGCCATTTAGCATTGTCGCATTTCCATCTGTCCCCCAACGTAAAGTCCCAGTGGTGCGTTTTAATTTTAATTTGTCGCTACCGCGCCTAGGGTGGCGCTTCTCGACTTAAACGCGTCCTGTTCAATCCAGAAGATCGAACCCTCGTGCAAAGTCAGCAGTGTTCCCGATTCAATCCGACTGGATTGTCACACGTCCGGAGGGACATTGCTACATGACACTGTGTGCCAGAAACACATTTAAGAGCTTGAAATTAAAAATTCGAAAACAGTCAAAGAAAAAATAAATAAAAGTAAAGTTGTTTGAGCCCAAGGTCCCCATGAAATGTGATATAGTACGGACCAAGCTTTTCCGGGCTGTTTCCCCGACACAGACTATAGAAGCCCATATTGTCACACAGGACATGCGACGTCGTGAAAGTTGGAGTTTCTTGTACAGTGCAGAGTTCTGTATGAACATGTTGCGTCGAATGAAGACATCAAATATTCAGAAATCCCAATGTTCGATACACTCTCGGTGCGAAAGGGGACTGTTTTGTGCAAGAGTATGGGCCGCTGCCAGTCATATTTTTCTAACGGGATTTTGGAATTTGAGCAGCGTGCAAACCAGCCGCAAAAAAGTTTGTTACATCTTTTTTTTTTTCTGTTAATTTTTTTAGCGAAAAAGACTGAATCGAATGGAGGAGGGCGAGTTGTATAGCACGCTGTCCCGTGCACAAAAAGACCTCACATTTAAACTCGTTTTCGTTTGCAAAGTACTTTCGCTCTAGTTTTGTTTGTTTAAACTGTTTTACATAGATATATATACATTGCACCCATATTCCTTTATTTTTATTGTTTTCGAGTTTTTAAGTTGAAACACTTTATAGTGTGATGTACTTCATCCTTTGAAGTTTTTGCAGAGAAAACAAGTGTGTCTGTACAAGTGTCGCCACGCTTCATTTCACCATACAAGTCGGAGCACAGACTAAGGCTGCACGACAAACAAATGCAGACGAGCACTAGCCTCACAAAATTGTGGCGCATTCAATGCGCTCGTTTGGTTAAGCCGGTCGGGGCGTGCACCCAGAGAGACAATGCAAGTGCAACGTTGCACTTTTGACGCTGCTCAATTGGTCCCGCCAGCCTGTAGGGTTGGTTGCACTCGGACTTGGAGTGAAACGAGGCATGGTAGTGTTGTTCCGTAGCTCTATCGAGGAACGAGCTTGACCAAGTGAGATTGAAGGACGATAGCTTTCACATTCGGGTTTCTTTTCCGCCTTACACGTGGTGACTCTTCGAGCCTGTGTTTGTGAAGCGGTGGGCATGTGCAAGTTACTTATGTGATCCTTAAACGAGTCGGCATTCCATGTTCTTCTTCGGCAGAGTCGGCGATACACGCACCCTTAATCGGATTTCAACAAAATTTCTATTTGTTTCCGGAAGTATGACGCAATTTACAGATGGCTTTTCGGTCGCGAGCTTACAGAAGGGGATACGCTCAACCGAACAGTCCCAAAATGTAAGCCGTCCCATTGGTAACAGTGTGGCAAAGTTTCATACTCGAAGTATGCGGCAAAGCGTGCAATAGCTTTCCGGGTCCCTGGACAAATGTTGCATTTAAACTTTTGGCTGCCTCAAGGTATTGCCGGAACGATCAACCCAAAGACTAGCCTGGCCAGAAGGGAGGCGTATGGCTTGTTGGCGCTTGTCATGGCTGCGAGCATATGGTCGTAGCTTTCTGCATTTTATTTTCACCCTTCTGTGGTGCTGGTACACTCGGGGCCGAGTACCTAGCCTTGAAACGAGCCTTGGCCGGACGAATGAGTGCATGCTCACAGGCAGGCAAAGCCAAAGTGTGCAATAGGATCTTGGTTCCTATTTATACGTTTCTCGTGCTCTAGCGACTTCAAACTGGTGCCGAAAGGCACCAAAGCGAGCATTTTATTACAAAACTTGTTGTCTACACGATTATGCAGTATTTTCGAGTGTGAAACTCTCATGCCACTTCTCTTTTTCCCCAAAGTTTTATTTGTGCAACTTTGTTTTCTCTTTCCCAAAGATGTTGGCAGTGATCTGGAACCACTGCACTTTTGTTGAAATAAAGTGGTGCAATATTCTGAACCTTGGTAGTCTCTGCGAGGACACGAGTGCTTCGAACAAACCTTCCGACAGGAGAATGCGTAAAGTGTCAAAATAGTTTTATTTCTCGAGCATAATTATCCTCAAGGTACATTGCAACTTGCCATATATTTAGGAGCGGCACTGTCCCACGTTTGCAACAAACAGTCGGTGTTTCTCGGATGCTTCCCCTCCCCGCACTACCCCAAAGAGCACGCACATGCACACAACATTCGTAGCGGTCGCACTTGCAAACCGTTACACCACTTTCAGATTGCAATTCGCACTAACACACCACGCCACACTCAACACAGAAAACAAAAGAAAAAATTTGGCTGTACAAAAGAAAAAAAAAAAAGGTCGATGAGAAAGAGACAACCAAGTTGTCAGGAAAGACATTCTGGCATGCATTGGTGGATATAGGACCAGAAACAAAGATTGAAATGCCAGGCGAAGGAACGCCTGAAGGGGCAGTTTTACGGGAAGTGGCTGCCCCGTTCGCGCCAGTGACGCCGTGTGGCGCGGGGCAAAGAACTTGGCTCCTGCGCCTGCAAACAATGGAAGCGATTTCGTTTTGCAGTCTTTTCTGAAATGGGGAAAAATGTTTACAAGGCTGCCGCGTCGATGCAAGCTCGCGGCTGGTGTCACGTAAACGGCTATATTTTGCGGCGCATCTTCCGCATCATTTCCAGCTTTCTCATCTGCTTCTGACGCAGCTCTTCCTCCTCTCTCTTCATGTCCTCGATGTCCTCCTTCAGACCGATCCTTGCGCTGTGGTGTCCAGAAAGAAAAGCGGATGAGATAGATTAGTGACGCGAGAGCCGACTCCTTTAACTGTGATGCGTTCTGTACTATTTGCTAGTTTATATAGGAAAGAAGGCAAAATACTTGAGATCTTAGCCGAAATGACTGGTTCCAAAAAGGCAGTGTGTATTTTTCATTTCGGCGTGTGTTTGCCGCACTGCCTGCTGTTTGGGACATTCTAGTGCGTTTATCGAGCGCGGATGATGTTTGCAGTCTCGCACTGTAATGCTGTCTGTTTTTTGTATTGTGTAGCCATTTTAATACTTGGAAACTGGAACTGTTTTTCTGCTCTGTGCATTTTGACAATGCAAAAATTAAAAAAAGAATGCCAGTGTTAATATTTAGCCATGTTGAGGATATACCTGTCAAAGGTTCCACCAATTGTGCAAGGACGCAGTTTTAGCCTAGAAGGTTTGTACTAAAAAGGTGAATGCTGAAACACAAAATGCACACTGCCTGCAACATCAGTCCCTAAACCCCCCCTCTCTCTTCCATTCCCCTTTCAATGAAGTCTCAGAATGTACCTTGCTGGTATAAGCAAGCCCATTTCAAATACTTGCCATTCGAAAGTTCTTCGCAACGTCCAAATTGATCTGAATTTCTGGGGGAAAACATTCTAATTGTCTGAATGCTCCAAATACTAGCTGAAGCACAGGTGGGCTCACAAAGCAGCGCAGTTTAACCAAGAGTAGGCCCGGAATATTTGTAGTGCCCATTTGGAAATGGCATTGCACCAAACCTAAAACTGACATACAGTCACCGACCGATTTTTCGGAAGCCGGTAATTCGGACTTGTTCTATATTTTAGACCTAAAGGAGGAACCGTGACCAACTCGATAGATATAGTACACATTCGTGACCAATCTTTTGAACAAAATCGTCGCGAGCGATCAGTGGAAAGCACCATCGAGAAACCGCCATTTTAGATTCTATGTTGGCTGCACATGGATTGGCTTGGTATGGCAGCGCTTACTATTACGGCTTTTTTTTTTTTTCTCTAGCTGCATGCTATTATCATAATCATTGTTACTATTTTGCTTTGTTCATTCACCATTCTGCAGTCATGGAGTGGCGCCTCTCATCTCATCTCGCCGAATCGTGTTTTCAGACTACGCTGACTTGGACGTCATGGCCCCAAAGTGTCGCTAAGAAGCGCAGAAAGTATACTCAACCATGGCACTAGAAAAGAAGGCAGTGATTTTTAAGCTATGTAATAAAAAGTGGCTGAGTGCAAGTGGAGGCATAACCTGAAGCAAGGCTTTTTAAAGCCCGCTTAGGCATAATAAAGGCAAGTCTTTTCGATTTTTCTGACTGCTCTATTACTCTGACATATTTTCGGTCTCAGCAAAGTCTAAAAAATCGGTAGGTGACTGATAAGCTTCGGTCCCTCTGCAATCCGTTGTCTGAAAGTGCGCCGATGTAGGGCCCAATTTTCCTCGAAAACGGATATCCGGTGTGCCATGTAACTAAAACATACTATACTTCATTTCGGCTTCCGTCCGAGCGCAACCAAAGGCTGAGGGACGGTTCGCAACTTCGAGAAGAGCAATCCTACGCAGCACAAAGTAGTCCGCAAAAGTTTTTTTTTTTTTTCTAAACTGTTTTGTGCGTAAACATTGCACAATATTCCAGATATCTACTGCCGAGAATCTGCAGCCGTGTTGCCAGTGGATGTACGTGAAAGCACAAACATCTGCTGACAACACGGCTGCAGCGCTAATTTTTTCTGTGTGATTTCGTTCCTGTAATGGTCGAATAATGTGCTTTGCTGCTTTCCTCACCGAGTCGCTTCGAAACGTCCTTTCACAAAGCCAAGTTTGGACGTCAGGCGCGAGAGGTCGTGACAAATGTCTGTTTTCAAATTCGGCAGGAGACGCCAGCCGCATCATACCGCGAATGCGTTGTAAACAAGAAAAACGTCCAGGCCACTACAATTCATTGATACGTGGCGAACTCGGGGCACCCCTTTACCTGCCGATCACATTGAACGCCGAGAAGCTGGTGGAAAGGACTGCGCCTCGAGCTCTGGTATATCCAGACAACGCAAGGAAACATCAACGGTCGGGTCATCGGGCACCTTGCAACCTGTACTTACATCTCGAAACTATGCCGAACAGGTGGAAACACTGATCTCAATGACAATTGCTGGATCGCGCTTGCCGCTCCCGCAAGTGAAGCCACCGGGCTTCACTCGCTTGGGATACGATTTGCCGTTTTTGCTAGCCTTTGCTGCGGTTTTCCAGCGTGCTGACGACACGTTTTCTACTCGTTCGTCGTCATTCGCCGAAGAAGTTTTTTGAAGACTCTGTGTATTGTTGAGACTTGCCGTTGAGAACACGTGGAAAATTTTACGAAAGTGCAGTGTCGCAAGGAAAAAGGCACAACGCGTCGAAAGGAAGGGCTGGCGGCGTGTTCAAAGCTTTCATGGCACGCCGAAGTGCCGTGTCTCTGTGCCTTCGCGCGCTTGGATACCGACCAAGAACCGACGCCGTGTGAATGTGTTTAGCGAGTGCAATGTGCGTGAAGCTGTGTCAAAAGGTACAACTCGTCGAAAATGTGTCGCCGGTGTCGCGGCGTGATCAAAGCTTCCTTGGCACGCCGAGTGATGCATCTTTGTGCCTTCGCACGCTTGGATACCGGTCAAGAATGGACGCCGCGCCAAAGTTCTGAACGTGTGTCGCGCGTAGATGCCTTTAGATCATTTATATATATCGCCCACGGAGTTCTGGATCGTCCAGCTGTTCCGGTGAGTTGCTATCAATAAAAGGGGGAGATCTGTACGTGTTCTTATGTACTATATTAACCATGGCTATGTCCCAAATCTACTTTAATAGATTTGGGACATAGATTCCGTGGGAGCACGAATAGGGCAACGTTGTGGAGCCAGGGGGGTTTTCGAAAGCAAAAGTACAAGACGGCGAGAATGAAAATCTTTGAAGCGCGGCCGATATGGTCGTGTGCAATCTGTTGACCAATTACAATTAGGCGAGCCGCGCTCAAACGTCAAGTGCAATTAAGTAGGTTGATAATAAGCCAGCACTGATCAGTGATGAGGAGCTGTTGTGCACGGTATCGTGTAAATCGTCTAAGGACGAAAAAAAGACGTACCTTCTCCCCATCTTCCGTCGCTAGTGGACGCTGGATTAAGCTCGTTCCTAAACCGCGAGGGGAAAAGACGCTGATCCAGAGGCACGAACAGCTTCACGCACATTGCACTCGCTGAACACATACACACGGCGTCGGTTCTTGGTCGGTATCCAAGCGTGCGAAGGCACAGAGACACGGCACTTCGGCGTGCCAAGGAAGCTTTGAACACGCCGCCAGCCCTTCCTTTCGACGCGTTGTGCCTTTTTCCTGCGACACTGCACTTTCGTAAAATTTTCCACGTGTTCACAACGGCAAGTCTCAACAATACACAGAGTCTTCAAAAAACTTTTTCGGCGAATGACGACGAACGAGTAGAAAACGTGTCGTCAGCACGCTGGAAAACCGCAGCAAAGGCTAGCAAAAACGGCAAATCATATCCCAAGCGAGTGAAGCCCGGTGGCTTCACTTGCGCTGCAGCGAACAAGCGGGGAAGCGCGATCCAGCAATTGTCATAGAGATCAGTGGGTGGAAAGCTCCGACACAGACGGCAGCGGCCAACCTACGTACCGACATCCCCTGCGACTAAATTTCAGAACGTGAAAGGACATTTTTTTAAACCTGTAGCAGACGATACCACCCGTAGCAGACGAAATACTCGGCGAGCGCGGGCGGCGCAGACGATCACCGGCGCAGCGGAGTGATACAAAGGTGCAGGCGAGATCGCGTGACCTATAGCCAGCGTCTGATTGGCTTCGGCCACACGTAGCTTTGGCTGCGCTCGGACGGAAGTTGAAACGAAGTATAGACGCAGGATTCCAAAGGCAAAAAAAATTTGGGCGTATTCACCAACCTTCTGACCTCCTCCTTCATTTGCTCCGCATAACTGGATTCCATTGCTTCGTCGTCGTCGTCGTCTTGGAACCTGGATGAAGGAAAATCAAGATTGACTTTGTGTTCATTTCTTTCCTCTCCATGTCCAAAATATGTTTGCAGAGTGGGCCACAATACTCGTTGCACCCTTTACATTGGCCGTAAAACTCGAACTGCAGCAAGGGTGCAGCAGTCTTCACAAAAGAGCACCCAAAACTCTGCCCACAATGACGATTAAAGTAGTGACGTGACCATTTCCGTCGCGTCTTCACTCTTTTGGCCGTGTGCTGTCGGAGCGTCCACGCGCCGCCAAGCTTTTCTGTATTCTGCAAACCAGTAACAGTTGGCACCGCCGCGCAACTCCAGCCGATTGCAATCGAGTCAACCGTTTTCGGCTACACGATAGTCGAGAGGGCTCGTGTAACCAGGGCGTAGGTTTTCAAACTTTCCAATTTTGAGGAACCATTTCCGGTTTCAGCGTTGATACTGTAAAGCAGGGCAGAAGCCTAGAGGCCCTCGGAATATTAATTCACGTACTATACTCGCGGACAACTTTTCTTGGTTTTTTCCGGGAAAAGGAAGAGAGCCCGCGGCACAGCTTTAATCAGCGCTCAAAATGGGAGAGGGAACGCAGGCCTGTACCTTCCACTGCATTGCCAAGAAAAGTTATCTTCGAGTGTAGGGAGCGATTGGCTCGTAGTTCTGTGTTGGCGGGTGACTCTGATCTTCAGAAGTAGTGCTTTGACGGGAAAAACTGCCAAGTTGCCCCAAACGGTTGGGGGAAGGGTTCTCGAGAATGTGGTTTGAGAACCCATCGACTAGGCTGTCGCAAGGCGTCCATTCCACTCTTCGCCAAAAGCCGTTAGTGTGGGAATTTTTTTAACAACGCATCGTCGCGAGAAATGTGAGAGCAGCAAACCTGCTCCTGTCGTAGCCGAAGATCTCTCGTATGTGCTTGGAGTAGTCGAGGTTTGCGGACTGCGGCGTGTCGTCGATGAAGTCATCCATGTCGTCTTCTTCGTCCTCGTACTCTTCGTCGTCTTCCTCCGACTCTATGTAATTACCTGTGCCAAAACGAAAACAAGCGTTAGCTGCACCTTTTGAATTCTGCGTTATCGTCCACATGGTGCTCGCGGCGTACATTCCTCTAAAGACTCGTCGCTATACGAACGGAACGGAGCAACTGCATAGTTTTTCGTGAGTTGTTTGTGCAGAGAGCAAGTCGTCTGCTTCTTGCGCAGTGGTTGCGGTGACGTCAGAACAACGCCGAGCTCCGATTAGAGGGATAGTGGGTAGACCTCAATGCTTGATGCCCTGGGGTCTACCCACCATTTTTTTTTTTTTCTATCAGCCAATAAGAGTTTGGCGTTCGCACATCATCGCAATCCCTGTGCAGGAAGCAAACAAACTTGCGCTCCACATAGCCTTCCTCAACGCCACTATGACTGATCACTTGCGGTATTAGGTCGGCCGGACGGCAAAGAGCGAGAGAATACCTTCAGAACATTTGTAGCTTTTCACGTCCTTGCGCAAGCTCAATTGCAAAGCGGACGAATGAAATAAAATTCTGTATCCGCTTCCGAATACTACTCTCAAGATTCGGGAGTTGGGACAACAACGCCTAACGACGAGTTCACATGTTTGCGTCCAAGTAATCGCGTCGTATATATGTTTGTACAGCCGGAAGTCAGTCGGCCCCAATGGGCATCTGGTGTCTCGGCTGTAGGTGGGAAATTTAGCCAGTGCAGTATCATTTTAACGTGCATCATGCAGTAGCGATACACGACCGCACGACGGTAGAATGTCCATTTAGATCTAAACGGGAAGGGGTGGGGATTGAACTTGCATCTAAGTTGTACTGAGTGCATCGCCACTGTTTGTGACTGCTTATGACAAGCTTTGGAAGATTTCCAATCTACACATATTTCCTGGTTTTAATGTGTTACGCACAAATACTGCAAAGCCTAGTCTAGTTCCAAACAGATAGAAGAGTTCCAGGACCACCGCTAGAAGGTGCAAGTGCGCTCTTTTCTCACAAGTGGTCACAAGCTGTCGTCGCGCAGTCAATCACAGCCAAAGACAAATGTGTGAACGAGCCTTAATAATTTCTAGCTTTTACAGTTTACAGTTACTTTTTAGGGCAACCGGCAAGCGACAATTGGCAAACAGTTCGAGCGAGCGCCTCACCCTGCAGCCGGCGGTAGAGGTCCTCGTACTGCTCCTCGTAGCTCAACTTCTTGGAAGCAGACGGGGCCGCCGAAACCTGCGACTTCTGCTTTTCCTTCTCCCTCTCTTTCTCCTTCTCCAGCTCGAGTTTGCGCTTCATCTTGAGTGCGTGCTCTTTCCGCCGTGCCAGCTCCTCCGCGCTGATCCTCGAACTTGCCAACGCCGCAGGCTTGTCGGGCGGCGCTTTCCGACGCTCTTCCTCTTTGCTGCGACTGGGCACTGCGGTCTTGCGAACCTGACAGTCTGCCTTGGCTGACGAAGCAGACGACTGTTTCTCACTTGCAGACAACGGCCGCTTGCTCGCGGAAGGCTGGGCGCTCGACGACGACGGAGTGCTTTTCCTCGAGGATGGGGGGTCGGACTTGGGGCCCTTTGGTTTCTGGGAATATGCGTAGAAGGTGTCGGCGTTTTCGTCCTCGCTGTCCCTTTCTGCCTGCTTGGACGGAGGCCGCGAGGGCTGCGTCTTAAACGCAGTCGACTTTCTGGCGTAACCGAGCTGGGAGTCTGCGGGCTTTTTGCCACTGCTACTGCCGCTTCCGCCGCCCGTGCCGTTCTGCGACGAATGTGGCGGCAAAATTAACAGTTGCCACGGCACTTATACGGATCTAACCTAGTTTCAAACAATCTATATGTAAACTTCCAGGTTACATACTACCGCAACAAAAAGTGATACACAGCATTATCGCTCAACAATGAAGCAGGGAAATACAGATTTCAACCAGTGCCTACTACATCAACAGCATTCCTACTGTACAGGGAGATTACCTCCGATCGACCTCTTCGTTGCCTGGGAGTATATATAGACAAAGAAACGAACAATAAAAACTGTTAGAGACGAAGAGGAACATATAATAAAGGGGAACAAAAATATGTCGAACACTTTTGAAGGCAAATGGAATGCAAGCCAGTTGCCGGCCCAACTCTAAGTTTTACCACAAATTCAAGACTCGCAGTGTTGCCCCAAAGCCTCCAGGGATTGACAGTGTGGGGACGCACGGAGAAGACGACAGACAAACACACGGAAGCACAAGTTCAGACGTCCCACGCTTTCAATTCTTGGATGCCTGCCCCAAATCAAGCACAAACAACCCCAAAGACCACGACTTCACTCACCCTAACGACGTCCCGCGAACCCGACGAAGGCGCCGGCGGCTTTTTGAGGATCGAGCTTGTCTTTCCTGTGACCTCCGCGCCCTTGGACCTCCTCTCTTCCGCGGTCGGCAACCTCTTCTCCCCGAGACAGTCCCGCGGTGCCTCCCTCCTCCCGGCGTCGGGCCGATTAATCCCCGGCTTCTTGGCAACGGCCGGGGGCGGGGCTGCCCTCTTCTCTGTCACCCGCGCCTCCTTCTCCTCAATCTCCTTCTGCTTCCGCGCGATCGCCAGCCTGCGCTCCGCCAGCTTGCGCTCCAACTCCTCCAGCTCGCGCTCTTCTTCCTCCATCTGCCGCTGTCGCTCCAACACTGCCCGCTGCTTCTCGGACAGTCGCTGCTTGTCCGCCGGTCCGGGCACCTTTTCCGAGGAAGACGGGAGTTTCCCGTTTGGCCTTGCGCTGTCGTTCTTCAACGGACCGGCCACTTCCTTCCGGCTCGGTGCCGCCGGCACTTCTTTACGAGGTGGTGCCGCCGTGTCTTTCCGCTTGGCCGGCGGGAATTTGGACGGCACCTTGACGCCCTTCCGATGTAGCTCCTCCTCCATCCTCCTCTCCTTCTCCTGCTTGGTGAGTGGCCGGTACTCTTCCTTGGAGGGCGGGGCCAGGCGTTCGATCGCGACTGGCTCGTTCTTTTTCTCGTTTGCAAGTCGCAGTAGGTCCTGGTAGTTGAAGGTCATGGGCGGGGGGCGGGAGACCGGCCGGGGCGCCGGGCGCTCGTCCTCCGATTTCTCGTCCTCGCCGGTGTAGATCTCGTACTTGCGCTTGCGTGGCTTGCGCTCGTGCGGGTCGTGTTTCTGCACAGGCATGTTTGAGTAACAGTTAAAAAAAAAGTTTTCCAAGTGAATAAAAAAAAAAAAAAAATAAGATAGAAAAGATAGGATATTCACGAAGAGCGGGCACTTGCAGGTTTGTCACACACGAATTTTGTACTTTAGTTGAGTGCACTGGTGATAAAGTCAAATACAAGACAGAAGAAAACATGAAAGACGGACAAAACAGATGTGTTGTTTTGTCCGTCCTTCATGTTTTATTCTTTCTTGACTAATTCTGTGTTACTGAAGTGCTGTTTTTCAAAACCGCCAGGTGAAATCTAGATAGATACGTCGCGACACCCTGACATAGAGGTTGCAAGGAAGAAAACGCACATTACGTCAAAATACATGTTGTTGGTGTTTTGGACAAGGTGTTATAACTGTTTTGGTTGCGACGAGTAGCTATAAAATTACGAATGGAGAAAAAATAATTACGATAAAAGGGTCGACCCGAATAATAGAGAGCATCGATTCGTGCGACCCTACGACCTGAAAAGTTGGTGATCGTCAATTAATCTAAAAAAAGATTCCTCTTAATCTAAAAAAAGATTCCTCTTAATCTAAAAAAAGATTCCTCCTAAAACAGTTCTATTAACGGGCTACATCATATAACCTCACCTCCCGCATCAGTCGAGCGCGTCACCTCTCCCACAAAACCCAGCCCTACGGCACGTTCCGCACTAAAACGCCTAAAATCCCAACTCCGTGACCCACACGGACGAGAGTCTTCCCCAAAAAGTATGCGCCGGGAGCACTACAGGAACAAACCGAGCTTTGTGGGAGCACTTACGGCGGCGGCATCGTCTGACCCCACCAACTCTCCGGCGGAGGTGCGTCGTTTGCGCTTGCGCTTGTGGGGCTGCTCCTCCTCTTCCTGCTGCAGCTTGATGCGTGCCTTCATCCGCTCCACCTTGTCCGTGAGCATCTTGCGCTGGAGCTCCGCCTCCCGCTTCTGTCGAGCCTCCTCCTCATCCTCCGTCAGCCGGATGCGGCCGAAGTTGTTATCCTTCGTGCGTGATGCCATCACCTGCGCAGCAGCCAGGCGCCATGCCGGTCAAATAGACGAGTCGGACCCGTGCTGTTACGTACAAAAGCGAGAGGCCAACGAAAATGGGCTAAAAAAAGGGAATGGCCGACATGCAGCATAGTATTTGTGTGCAGCGTTTTCCGGTTTGTACACTGCTTGCACCCAAGTCACACTGGCGGCCGTTGCAGCGACCTTGCCACTGAACGGGTGCCTTCAACGGCAAACGTTTTGCACCATCAAATTTTTTTTCTTGCCAAGAACGGGTAGGAATGATTGGCAGGACGACGCAATGATGTCACGTGCAAGCCGTGTTTGAGCGCTCGTTTGTGATCGGTGCGGCACTGCAGCCGCGCACCTGTGTCGGCACCCTTTGGACCATCTTTGGATCGAAAGAGCAGGCCATCGGAGAGTGCTCTGCCATTCTTCTTTTGTCATAGATGCCAATATGGTCTAGATCTTGCACAATAACGGTCCATACGTACAAAAAAAAAAAAAAAGGACACGAGGCGCATCACTGTAGAAGACGCATCAAAGGACCTTTTGGGGAAAAGAAGATATCTATATACGCTGATAGAAACAATATGTCTTTGGGATAATACATGAAACCTGCAGCACTTCGTCTCAAGACTAGTAGGTATTCGATGGAACTGCACAAAGGGTTAGTAAATGTAGCTGTAGATATAAATGAATGGCCTCTATTATTCGACTTTCATTCAGAGATACTGCCAAATAATACTCACCCTTTTATTGTTACAAGTACTACTAGTACTGAAAAGACTAAGTGCACAGGTGAGCTGGTGGTAGCTAATCTACTACTAGTAGTTTGATGAACTAAGAGGTCGGAAGTGTAGAATTTTTTAAAATATCTGTTCATTAGAGAGAGTTATTGAAACAAGGTTTGTACAGAGCGCGACACTGTTAGCGCGAACAAGTGATTGCCGGTTTTTGCTGTTTTTCTCTTTGAAACCAAGGGATGTAATCCAAGTTATTATTGCTATGAAAAGAGCTCATTTTGTTCTATAATGCAAGTGATAAAATTTCATGCTAACTAATACTATTTAGAAGTAAAATGCGAAAATGCGCTGATGTCGTGTTCACGCTAACAGTGTCGCGATGTGTACCTCATGCTGCCTAAGGGATTGGCAGATGAAACCAATTGTGCCAAGAATAATTTCATACTTGGCAAAAACATTAAAAAAAGGGTAAAGCAGACGAGCTATAGACGTCCCGAACGGTTTGGGGACAGCTCCACGCTGACGAGCTAGGCTTGTCAAGATCAATCAAGAAGCCAAGTTTCTGAAAATGTTTTGTTCTTCTCCAAGTAAGTTGCCTTAAATAAAGAACTGGACAGAAAAGAAACAATTCATACTTACCTTTGCCCGCTTGTTAGACTTGGAATTTTGTGCCCGGAGTTCCAGCAACTTTTCTTTCTTGCGCATTTCCTCGATCTCTGCCAAAGAGCCGAAATTTGAAGGACGAGATGTCACGCATTCCAGATCTAGCCGCAAGTGACTATACGTTCAGAAACAAACAAAGTTTTCTTGCATACTGTGCGTCCCAAACATGGAACAAGTGCTCAGCTCGTCACCTATGAGCATGACGAGCAGAGATGTGTGGTTAAAGAGCTAACTCTGCTTTCGCAAATTTCTTTAATTGTTTTTTTACTCCATGTCTTTCACCGCCTTTTTCCATAATCAAGAATCTATCTTTGTCTTTTTTTCTTCTTTATGTGGAAGTAGAGCATGCATGCAGACAACTTGCGACTTTTTAGCGCTCTGGAACTTGTGCAAGTCAGCAACCTAAACATACAATGTGAGTAAGTATACTGGAATGGCATCTGTTAAACAGAGCTTCACCTTACGGAGGACCGCAGCAGATGCTACGAGCCAACCCAGCCAATCCAGTGCCGCAAAAGTATTGCAAGACTTAGCACGTCGCTGATCCGGTCTTGGAGTGGCTTCGACGGCTCGTAGCATCCTCGGTGCCACATCATAGGAAAGAGAGTATAGACCAGTGTCTGCTCTGTTCCACGGCAGCCACCATGTTTGTTTGCTTACGCCATGACACACTAGAGGGTTAAAAGGTATGTTTGGGCTAGTTGGTTGATGAGCATCATGGTTTAAAACAGTGCGACAAGGACAAAGTAAAGACGAGACAGACAACAGTGCAGCGCTGTCGTCTGTACTTTGTCCTTGTCTTGTCTTGCTGTTTTAAACCAAGAGATACGAGGGGGCTGTGCTTTTTGCAAGATTTAGTTGTTTAGAAACCTTTGCACATATTATACTGCATGAATGTCAGAAATGCATACTCACAAAGCTCCAAGAACAACACCGACACCAAGAGTGTTGTAAAAAGCAAAAATCTTGTCTTATGCACAGCCTCTCTCTTCACAAGAGCCCGCGTTCCCAATTTCATCGCTGGGGGCTGGGATTTCGGAAATTGGTCTACACAAATACTTTGTCGCTTTTCTAAATCCCTGTCCGGTTATTTATCAATGATTACCTTCGTATGGTTCACAATTACACTTGTAGGACTTCCTGCTTTGGCATTTGAAGTGAATGCTGGCAGTATAGAGAAATAAATAAATAAATAATAAGCATGGTATACAGTTCTTTGTGGTGCAGCGTAGGCAAAAACAGTCCGAGCAGGTACGTACGCTTCTGCTTCTCTTCCTGCTCCTTTCGCTGCAAGAAGGCACGGATCTGGGCAAACTGCACATTGCTCTTGGGCAGCTTTTTGGCCGGCGCAACCTCCGTGCTGTAGCGCTTGACGGTTTTCTGGTTCGGGTCAACACAAAGGCGAAACGTCAGAAGTCGGTGCCGGATGGGACACCAAGAAAAGAACAAAGGCAGTGCGCGGTGCACTGTCTTTGTTGTCTTCTTGCAGTGTCTTGCAGCAGTGTCATCGTGACTAATAATGATAATGGAAATGTTTGTTTATATATATATATATATAAAAAGGATACACTCCCGTTCTTTTGATTAGTCGTGATGACCCTAGCACGGTTAGTCTACCATTCCATCTGTTGACAGTGACAACTTCAATAATGTAGAATTAATAAATAAATAAAAATAAAAAGATAATATATGTATAATACACGCCCGAAAAAAAATGCATACCTAGTGCCACGCTGGGTAAAGACGCGTCCCTAAAATTAAAATGCTTTTTCTTTTTTACAGGGTTTCAGAATTGTTTTGCGGCGTGTGGTTATGAATTTACGGACACACAGACAGACAGACGCAGGCACACAAAATGACAACGGTCGGCCTCATTATATTGAGTGTGTCGATTCATTCGGCGCCACGATCAAGTAATCGTGATGTTGACTCCACCTAGAATTGCTCTAGCAATGACCTTAAAGTTTGGGGAGTCCTTATTTTGCATGTGCTCGCAACGGCGAGCAGTTCTCTTTCTCGCATTTCCCCATTGAGACAAGGTGCTACGTCCACTTCGATAGAGCCCTGGCTTAGGCTAGCACAGTCTGAAGCAGCTACATTCCGCGACTTCTGGCAGCCCCGTGTCCCCTTCATTTGCGACGTTTAGCCCTACGAACAAGATTAAATAAAATATTTCGTGCGAAGTCGAGTCGTCCTACATAAACCGACAGGCACGGACAGCGACGAACCGTGGAGCTCTTACCTCGGCTGCGGAAGCATTTCTGTTTTTCTCAGCGACGTTCAACAGTCGCCCAAAGTTCATCGTTAATTGTCTCGCTTGGCGCAGAAGGTGATGTTGGGTGGGTTTGGATGTTGGACCACGAAATATGGCAAATTTTACAGCCGATTTTTACACATACGCACCGAACTGGCACCAATGGCGGGCGCGAAGCGACATTTGCCCCCTAGCGTTAACTGTCCGGACTCCGTTGTAGCTAAAGAAAGGTAATCTAGGGAGCGAAAGTATGCGGGCGACCTGGTTAGGAATCATAAAAATCTAAACCGGTTATTTCATTTTTTGTTTTTGTTTCAAGGTTTAGACTTTGAGAGGTAATGTAAAGTTTTAGCGGTTTTAGCAGGGAGGGAGTGGTTGCCTGACCGGCTGATAGAGGGCGCTAACGCACTCACCGCCATTAACCGTCATTAGGTTGCTTAGCACAAACTGGCTGGTTTTGGTTTCAACATCCACGCGGCTGTGTTGGTGTTTTATGTCGTTTTCGTTTAATTTTATGCTACAAATGTGTTCCTTGTAGCCTACAACCAATAAAAAAAGAGATACTGCGCTACCACAAAGTGGGTTCGAGCCTTTTCCGAACACCTGTGTTGAAAGACATGTAGGACATTTCTTTCATTACCTACCCTGACAAAGTAGTTATTAATTGCATTTCAGAATATCGGCCTTAGGAATTTTGTATACGGAGCACTTGTGACAGGCCCGTCAAATTAAGCCTGGCATTTCAAGAGACCTCAGAAAGTATGGTCGAAGTCGAATAAACTTCATGGACAAACAGCAAATAGAGTATATAAGTGTTTTATTTCATGGACATGGACAAATGGACAAACAGCAAATACAGTATATAAGTGTTTTATTTTTTTTTTCCCCATGTCGCTGTCTGCTTGTTTTCCCCGGTTGCTGTTGTTTGTTACCGTATGCCAATTGTAAGGCTGCAGAGGCCTTGTCAAGTCAAAACTGTTTTGACTTTTTGCCTCTGCAGCCCACATCACTATTTGATGATGATGTAAATAAAATTGATTGATTGATTGATTGATTGACCTGTGCAGAGACACCTTTATTTGCTTAAAGAAGAAGAATGTTTTTATTTCGTAAATTTCATACGTACAAATGCTGTGAATTGCATCTGGATCCATAGCCACAAGGCTATGGATGCCTTGTGGCTATTATGGTGCCTCGATTGCGTCTTCGACTGGTGTGTTTAGCGCCCTATCCCGCCCATACATCAAAAGTGGTCCCAATGTGGCAACAAATGACGCGAGTGTCATGCTGTTGCCTGTCGCGATCCTGGCGGTTGACCGTAGAAATGCAGGCGAAAAGCACGAGCGGACGCGAGTGTCGCTGTCGTCACGGCGTCGCTTTAGGCGTCCCAACTTCCGGCTGTCCTAGCTTCCGTGAACTGTCACAATGGAAAGCGACTTGCAGCAGAACAGGCGTCTGCCGTACTTACCACAACTGTTGGGACACCGCCAGGGTCGCAACCGGCGACAGCATGACACTTCTATGGCCGTGTTCCAAAATTTACTCGATCTTACTCCAGGGTAAAGGTTTTGTACCCTTGGCGTTCTAAAACCTACCCGCGTCCAGCGTTTTTCAATCTGTGCTGTCACGTGATACGATCCGCCGGAGTAACTCGGATTCATATGAGTAAGATTTGGAACACAGCCTATGACGTCATCAGGCGGAAATCGAGGGACCACTTTTTTGGCCGCGGTAAACACACCAGTCGGAGACGCGTTCCAGGCACCATAGTGGCTATGGATCGTTTTTGATTTAGGCTTCACCAGCCACTGAAAGCAAATCTCTATCCACCACCAACAACATGGCGCTCGAGCAGAGCAGTGGAAAAGCCAGGATGGGCCTATGGGGATTCAGCCCTCCCCCCGAAATCCAGCCGACCCTATTAACCAGGGGTGGCCAGGGTGACATGGGGTTAGAGCCGCAGACAAAACTACAAAAGTTCAGAGAGCAGCAGAAAAAAAAAAAAAGGGGGGGGGGGGGGAGGGGGGCTACTTTGAACAAGAAACGATATGGAGGGAACAGTCCTTCCCAAAGGGGATAAGAATAACTGTCGACTACCACAAATAACACCAGGTAGCAAAACGTTTCTTTAACCGCTAAGAAAAAATGAATGCATTGTACGCTTGCAAGCAACCGCCCCTGACGACCGTTAGAACAATAAAGGAAACAAGGTCACTGGACACACCCATGTGTCAAAAAGCGCTGTATGTACGTAGTTTAGTACAATGTTTCCAATATTGTAAGCTTTTTTTTTAATTCTGTAATATAAATTTTATTGTCTTGGGGACAAAGGGGGCAAGCTCACCCGGGAGCCGCGAGCCACACTTGAACCAGCGCAGAGCCGCAGTTTGGCCACACCTGCAATATATAAACAAGCACTTTGACTCACTCAAGCACTTTGACTAAACAAGCACTTTGACTTTACCGTAATGCAAAGTAAATGTAAAGTAAACAAGCACTTTGACTTTTACTGTAATGCCCACTGGGCGAAGTAGGTAATAAATAAATGAATAAAAATTAGCGAAAAATGCACGGACGGACAAAATTTTGGGACTGTGGGGTAGCATAAAAAAAAATTCATGATTTAAAACAAAAAAAGGTAGGAAATTATGTTTTATAACAGAGGCATAAACGCAAGAACGAAAAATGTAATACAATTCCACCAGTCATTTTTTTACAGATTCTGTTGTACCATAATTTTCAAAACATTTTTAAGAAGCCAGTTCCAAGTTTCGACTGTTTTAACAATACAAAAAGAAAGTACTTGTAGGTATCATGAGCTTTCAAGCTAGCGTTCACTACCAAAACCCCCTGAACCAGCGAGTTTTGAAAATAATTAATTTACGGTCGAAATCTGCACGCTGAGCATCATGCTCAGTGTCTTAGAGTCATTTTTACTCGAAACGTTGGTGAGTTCGTATCCATTTTTCCGTAAACGCCCAAAATGGGTTCTCCGCCTTCTGCACAGTAAGAGTAGAAGTGTGAGATTAGTTTTTGGAGCTTTTGTTTTGCCTAAATGGTAAGCATTATATATGTATGTTATTGGGTTCCGTGATGTATACTCGTGTATTTATATATGTTATTAAGTATTATTTTAACTTTGCCATCTATCCCCGCGCGAGTCAAGCCAGGAGCACGGTGGAAGAAATACGGTTTGGGAGGGACCCCATACTTGGGCGCCATCTATCCCCGCGCGAGTTAAGCGCGCTCGGTGCCCGAACATTATGTGGCCGTCGCGTCGGACGGAGAGTCATCTCCTAAATGTGTTTCTTCCACCGTGGGTCTAGCGAACTCAGAGTGCACACAAGTTGGGTACAAACGATATCATCATCATCCCACACGGGTACAATTTGGGTTTCGCCCGCAAATCGAAAAATTCGTATTGTAGCATAACGAATGGGCAAAAATATCTTCTTTTTTTTTTTTTCGACGAACATTAATTTTAAAGGGATACTTCAACGAAATTTGAAATACTCCCGTCGTGTTCAAAAATAGGTTGAATATGATCCACAATATCCGTAAATGACAATCGCACGTTTGTATTTCGAGCCTGGTGGCTGTATTTTTCGTCATAAACGGCCCACTCTGGCAAGCGCTCGGAGAAGGCCCAGCGGAGACCACGTGACATTCAACGCAATCGTGACGTAGGTCGTCTCAAGACGAGCAATGCTACGGCGAGGCTGACGTCGAGAGGATGGCCTAGTCGTTCCAGCCTCCGAAGCGGCTGCTTGTGTACGATTTTTGAGTGACGGGTTAATCTTCTGTAATCTTGTAGGGGGACAATAGCGACTTCTGCGACACACAAAAGGCATTCTCGGGAAGAGGGGAGTTCCTCCTGCCCCTCTTCTCTCGTCGTGGCCGAAGGCGAGACAACCTCCGTCACTAGCTGTAAAGGTTCCTAGACGGGCATTACAAGCGAGGCGTTAGCGACATCCACCAGGTGCTCTTTGCTAATCGTTTAATTCGTTTTAAAATTCCTTTTCGTGACTTTTTTAACAAGATATTGGTATGTTCGATGTGATGCTGCTCCTTTGAACACATATAGACCAGAAAATGAGCGCCGAAATTTCGTTGTAGTATCCCTTTAAGACATGCCTGTCCTAACCACGTAGAAATGAGTTTGTGTTTTTTTTTTGTTTTTTTTTACGTTCAGTGTTTTTTTTTAATATAACAAGAAAACAAGACAGAGCCCAAGAGTGATTGGTCCTTGTGGGACTTCCGAGGGAACGCCACAAGTAGCTGAAACATTTCTATTGATAGTCAGACATCGTGCCCTGTTAGTTAGGTATGCTCGAATCCATTCAACTACGTCCTTATTAACGCCGTATGCAACTTGTTTTTCTGCGAATCTATTGTGAGATACACGATCAAAGGTCTTAGATAAGTCTAGACAAACCAAGTCAATTTGCCCTCTTTCATTTAAAGAGCAAGAAAAATCCCCGAGCGTTTTTGTTAACTTCGTCACCGTTGAAAGACATCAAAATTCATGCTGTTTTTATAAAAAAAAAAAGCAAAAAAAAAAAAAAAATACCACAATTTTTCAAAAATCATAAATACTTTTTTTTTTTTTTTTTAATTATACGTTCACAAAGTTTACTGCTCGTGCATGTTAACGAAATGGGCCGATAATTTGTATGTTATGTTTTTATGAGTGTGATGTAACGAAATGTCGAGGCTCGATCTCATATGGGCCGTAAAAATCGGCGCCCGCACGTAGGAATGTAAACTTGTAGTCAAAGGTGTATTCAACAGGTGGGTTTTATCTTGTAAAATTACAAGGCGTAGCTACCTTTCCGTAAAAAAATAGTCCAAAAAACTTGCCTGGGCCAACGGCGGACTGCGATGCAGACAACCGAGTCGAGCGGAGGGACGCATTTGGCGCACGTATTGATAGATGGCGTTGGGAGCAGCGTCGGAAGGTGTACCCGGTCAGCGAAAGAAAGCACTCGACACGCAGCAAAAGCGCCGTCGTTACGCAACAACGGTTTCTTTTATTTTTTGTTACTCGAAGTTTTGGCATCATTGTCCGCATCTCTATTTTAATAAGGCGCGGTCGTCGCGAGCAATCCCGATATATATATATATATATATATATATATATATATATATATATATATATATATATATATATATATATATATATATATATATATATTGTG